TCCTTCGAAGACTTCTGATGCGGCGGCGTTATTTTTTTTCGGGGAGCGACGGGAGTTATGCCGCCGAGGGTCTTTGCCGGGGAGAGACGGTTTCAGCCCATCAAGACGCGAAAAAACATTAACGCCGCCGCATTAGAAGTCTGCAAATGATGCTGCTTTTTCCCCTTTCTCCCCCAAACCTGCATATTGTGTCAAACGCCTGCAATTCTCAAAGCCGCCGCAGGCAAGGTGGCCTCGATGCACAATGGGTCACCTTGCGGTTACCATCGTTACTGCAATCTGGGCTGTTATGGAGTGAGCACAAATAACTTTTATGTATGTACTTTCCTGCCTACATTACCCTCACTTGCTCTCCTCTTCCACCCCAAATTAGTCTGCAAATTGCAGAAAAACAAAATACGTCATAACTCTCCTATTCTTTCAAGTCTTCCTTATACGGTTATAAGTAACGCATTATGATGTCTTCAGCCCAATCACGATATTACATGCATAGTAATGATTATATTGCAAAACAACTGTATACGACGCAACGTATGTAGCCTTACACATTGAAGATTGTTCACTTGCGAGTTGAGTGCTAGTACAGTTCAGATGTACGAGCAGGCAGAGCCTGTCCGGACCTCTATCCCGGAGCCCGGCAGCGGCCAGACCAGCGGGCCGCCGGTGCCGCCCCGGTCTCCCCAGGTCCGGTGTAGCGGCGCAAGCCGGCGGGCCCGTCACGGCAATGCAGGCTCCGGCAGGTGTGGAGAAGGCCTCGGCGAGTCTCCAACCACGTACGAAGAAGCCGAGACGGTGTGCTACACAAGAAAGAGCGTTAAGAAAGATCTTTCGCCAGAGCCGAAGCCACCTCATGCGGGGTTAAGTGCCAAAGACGGCAGACACCAGGACAACGAAGGCTCGGGTAGGTGTCGAGGAGGCATCGAAGAGTCTTCAGACTCGTACGAAGAAACTGTGACGGTGCATTTCACAAGAAGGTCCCGGGATATCCCAACACCTTCGCAGGCGAGTCAGCGACAGCAAACTCGGCACAACGCGGCGCCAGATCAGACGGGGGTTGGCACTGGAGACGGTAAGCGCCAGGGCAACTCAACTCGCCGAGAGACAACAGGTAAATAAACACTTCTGTCACTTTCTTTCTTTCACGACTTGTCTCAAGAACTGTACACGTATATAACCTCATGCTGTGTTACATGTAGAGTAGTTTGGGACTTACTGTACAAATGTTTATGTGTATATGTGTGTGTTTGCTTTTTGTGCGTTATTGTGTGGGTTATTTTGTGTGTGTTAGTGTGTGTGAGTGTGTTTGTGTGTGTGTATTATTTTTGGCGCCGCCTTAGGGGCGGAGGCATTTATGTTAGTACTACGATCGCTTTTTTAAAATCTGTCCAAAAGATGGCGCACGTCAAGTTGCAGCAGGCGGCCGCCGTGGTGTCGGTGACGTCATGCGTGACGTCATGCGTGCGCACTTGTGCTGCCTGGCTGCCGGCCTGTCAGTCATAGTGATCCTTGGGGCCGTGGGACTGCTGGGCATGGTCATCAGCCACATGACTGGGGAGGTGGGTACAGGCAAACCTTATGTTATCATGGGAGTTCATCTGTTTTTTATTTCATTTTATTCAAATTGCAACAATGCAATACACGCGGAGCAGAGGTAGCTGTTGCTGGTGTTGTGTCCCGCACATAGAAACGGATACTGGACAGACAATACTCATTTTTACTTGAGTCTAGTGGGGAAAGTCGTGTTAAGTGCCTTTCCTAAGGGCACAAGATCGGTGGCATGTCAGGACTCGAACCCGGGACATCTTGATTCCGAGTCGCGCATGCTGCCACTACGCCACATGACCCCACTAATCTCATCTGTTTTGGTACATTACGTGATGATAGACAATTGAACTTTCTTCGAAAACAAAAATGATGCTCATGGGGTTTCAGGTTGTATCCAGAACCGTGCCTGTTTTCTCCTATGCCTGCATGAATGGGGTAGGGTTGGAACCAAGCACAGTCCTGGATAGTCTCTATGGTATCTTGGTGGGTTTAATAACCCCCGGCAGCTAGAGCTTGTGTAAACACAGGCTATTACGAAACCAATAAAACGACATTCACGGATGATCATACAGTTTTCTCCTTTCCAGGGTTCAGATGCTGGGAAGGTGCCTGATTGGTCTGGGCTACATGTGACCTCAGCATTTGTTGATAACGTCTCCATCCCATTGGCCCAGCCAGCTGAACCGATGACGACATCACCGTTACCCCCAGCAATGCCTGGCTCAGAAGTGGCGAGGCCTCCTAGAAACCTGCCACCTGTGATGCCAGCCTCTGATGACGTCACTTCCGTCCCACCAACTCTCCGGGCTGAAGTCGAACCAATGACGACATCAAGTCGGAAAGGTACAGTGTCTACTACCAACCTAAGACACGGGAGCTGTGAGTTCGGTAAGGTTGAAAACTGCGATAGAGGAGTCTTCTAGAATTGTTGCTAATGGCCCGGCCACATTTGTCGTAGGCAGTCTTGCGATTATCTAATTTGATGTTGTAGAATTATTTTCTCTCAAGCAGGCTATGACAGAACTAACCATCGTAAAGGATCTAAGATGTCTTGCACTGTAACAAGATAGATGAATTTTGTTTGACATATGCAAGACCATACTAAGAATGCCCCATACAACGATTGCCCTAGGTATTCCAACGAATGTCATAGCTAGAGACAATTCAATATTTACCACTTTTGACTTTTTATCAGTAAGACTTCCTTAGATTAATATTGTGCCTTCTTGATTGCAGCTTGGGGAAGATTCCGTGACTGTGCTGAGATCTATGAGGGTGGGTTCACCACAAGCGGCGTCTACCGCATCACTCTACAGAACACCGCTCCAGTGGAGGTCTACTGCGACATGGATACTAGCGGTAAGTTCCAGTGTCCAGGACACCGGACATCAAAATCATAAGTTCAGTTGCAGTACCTAAGCAGCTAGGTGGTCAATAAACTAATCATTTTTTCATGCCGCCAAAACCTACCCACATACCAAATGTCATTACTATTCATGCTGTTCACAGATACACGAACACACATCCCTGAAAACATAACCTTCATCACAAGGCGATACATGAATCATTTCATCTGTACAAAAAGGGTCTTTATTCAACAACCAAATTGGGTTTTCACATCCCTTTTGTAACATTGCAGCAGCGACACCTAGCTGCAGTACGAATCACAACCAGTCATTGTTGCCGTGAAGGTGACAGTAGGACATTGAAATGTCAGATGTGAAAACTGGAAATTTTCATGTTTTTATGCCTAGGCGGAGGCTGGACTGTCATCCAGCGTCGGATAGATGGCACCGTCCCATTCAACCGTACCTGGGCGGAGTACAAGCGTGGGTTTGGGAACAAGGACGGGGAACACTGGCTGGGGAACGACAACATCCACCTCCTGACCAACCAGAAGGACTACAGGCTGAGGATCCACTTTGTACGCTCCACAGGAAAACATATGAACATCATGTGCACCAGTGGTACCTTTAAGTAAGTCAGCATCAGATTACCCAGTGCAGGCCGGTGTCCAGGCACACACACGGTCATTATTTGTTCAGTGAGATGCATCCATCTGTGTATGACCAGACCTGTGCTTTGTATAGAACCGTTTCTGGATAGCCTAAACCTGTATCCAGAACTGTGCATGGGGCAAACCTACATTCTTGGATACAAAACGTATCATGGCTGATCCTAAGTCTAGACAGACACGATTTTGGATACAAAACACAGACTCACCCCTATCATAGTCAATGTGTTTTTCAGTGCGATGCATGGCTTTGCATTGGCAGTGAGAGGTAACGTGCGATGGTGTAACCGTAGACTGACAATATGGTTGAATTTGGAGATCAAAGATGGTCTCTCTGCGCATGCAGGCTGGAATTTCCCAACTCTAAATACTCTAAAAGTGTTTAATCTTTGGTTTCTTGTTAATTAAATTTTTTTAAAAAATTTCCCAGGGTAGCTGATGAGAAGAATGACTACAGACTGTATCAAGGTGTGCCCAGGAAAGGAAGAAATAATTGTGACACAATCATTGCCTCCCACATTGGCTGCCGGTTCTCTACTGTGGACAGGGACAATGACAACATTGATGGCTTCAGTTGTGCTGAGTGTTATGGGGGTGGGTGGTGGTATCTGTCATGTGGTGCCCTCGTATCCATTAACCAACAGTGGAACTGTAATAAAAAAACAGATTTAACCTCGGTAGAGCCAGTGTCCCTGAAGTTAAAGCCATAGCTGGGTACACTGTATTGTAAGGTTTTGGTTGTGTTATAGGGGTGGGGTTGAATTTTGGTGGCATCACATCAGTACAACTAGTATAAGCAAGGGTAACTGTCCTACCATGGTAAAGACAGGGTATCTGTACATATGCACACTATTAAATTTCTATAGATGCCGTTGAGTGTTGGTTTGGTAGAGAAAATGGGCCCCACAAGTTACGATTTCAGGTTTTCACCATTTTATTTTAGTACTTCTTGGAAGTGAATATACAAGGCACAAGAAATATACATGTAACATCATACAGTGAAGCAAAGTTGAGTCTGCTTATAGCTTACATAGTGGAACTAACACCAGATGTTTTTCTTTGAGAATATTACTGTAATCTTTTAAATTTCAACTAATATTACAGGTGTATCTTAGTTTGTAAACAAAACTTTATCCTTATTATGTTGACTTTGTGTGAACCTTAATTTTTTTCAAATATAGCTCAATGCCACAGTGACTTGAGAAATTGTAAAAAAAATTATGTTGGTTGAAAGTAAGCCAGGCCTTCTCTTTGGTTGTGTTGTGCCAATAAAATTCAAATTTTTTAAAATAAAAATCTCTGACTATTTGCTGTAAAAGTTTTACAATGGGTATGATGCCTTACCTTGTGTACCACCCTAGTTAGTCTACTGGGGCTCCTAATCTACTCCTCCCTTATCAACTAGTTACTTTACTTGGGCCCATAACATACTCCCCCCCCCCATCAAGTACTAGTACAGTTAAGCCTGCCAAGGTGACCACCTCTTCAAGCTGGCCACCTGGCCATGGCCGGGTAATTATTCCTGTTATACTCAAAGATACAGAACATCAGGCCAGTCCTGGAAACATGTCATTTCTCTCTAAAAATGAAGGAAGGGTTTGTGTCAGAAATGAAAGTGCCACTAACAAATACAATGTACTACAAGATCTGTCCCATTGTGAGGGGGTTTTGGCAAAAGCTAAGATATAAAGAAAATGTCATTGACCAGTCCTGCATACTGTATTCTGTGTGTCCACACAAGAACAGTCCACACACAGATTCTTCAGCGACAGGTTTGCTGGTTTGAGTTCACATCACTAGTTTCACCAATGATTATGTGTGCTCCTAACATGGCTTAAATCCATAACAGGTGATGTGTTTTTGTGCCCCCTTCAGATATGGTATGTAGATACGTGCCACAGGGCACATGGGGTGACGTACATGATACTGCTTTTTAATGTTAGGCAGGGTGGCCTTCAAGTCTCTCCAGACATCAGCAGCCCTGTCGTACACATATACCAGATAGTCACATGATGACCCAAGGGGTTTGTCACCGTCATAGGTCTCTAACAATATATGCACCTGATTGTCCAATACGAAAAAGTTAGGAAGAAACTCAACAGAACGGTTCCCTTGGTTTGGCCAGCTTGGCAGTTTCTGCCAGCAATCAGACTCTGTGTTGTACACCATGGCCTCGGAGAAGGTATAATTTGTGCAGAAAATCTCTGTTCCCAAGGCAGCAGCAATGATCCATCGGCTATCACACCAAAGGTTTGGTGGAGTTCTCTTGCACCAACAGTCCTGGCTGGGATTGTAGTGATACATCGCTGAGTCCGTGAGGAAATAGATGTATGAGCCACAGGATAAAGCAGTGCTGTGATCCCATTTTCCTTCAAGTAGTAGCTGTGAACACTCCTGCCACTGGTCTGTACGCTGGTCATACTTTTTCATCCGCACCAACGCACTGACTTCTCCTAGATCAGCAGCAAGGTAATATAAAATCCCATCCACTTCAAGAAGGCACTCATCCTGTTGAGTAAACATACCCGAGTATTCCCTCTGGTACGCAGATACTGAGGACATATCAGCATCTTCCCACACATTATCTACATGGTTGTACTTCAACATTGACAACTGATAATATTCCTCACCTCTCCCATTAATAAGGCCATAAATATCATTATCCTTGGTGACTGTTATCAGTGTTCCATCAGGTATGTCTTCAGTGCAGCTGATGTACATCCCTTCCTGTGGGTTCATGTACAGGATCTCATCCTCCATTGTCCTGGAGAAGGAAAAAGGAAAGGAATGTGATCTCCGACTAGTTTTAGCTCACTGAAGACCTACTCTTCCACTGGCCATGACAGAGAAGACAGATGATATGTACAGTATTTACAGGTTCACATTTACCAGGGAAATTCCCCTTGCTATTTTTGACAAGCACAATGAACAGTTGACCACAGCTAACATCCCATCCTAAGGACTGTGACGCTTTCCTATACTAGCGTGCATGTCGTCAGGCAGCAACAGCCGTGATTCAAACTTCGAACTTTTTGGTTAAGAGGCAGGGATGCTAACCACTAGACTATGCAAGATACACAAAGCACAACATACATCACTAATTATCTTAAAAACTGTACAGCAAATTCATAACTTTTCTTTGGGCATGCACTGATGCCATCTATCAAATCAAGCCTTGTAGCCACAGAGAAATAATAGTCATAAGGTGAAATACTAGTATAAAGGCATAGCACACAGTGTATCCACTAGTACATGACTGTGGAAATGTAAAATGCAGGACAAAAAATAAAGGAATGACATTGTGCAAAAATTCTTTCAGACCCAGAAAGCTAGGCAAATTAGAAGTACATGTACATGCATATACATGTGTACATACTCTATGTTGGACAGCAGAACCATTTCTGTGGTCATCCCAAGCCTCGGCCTAAGCTTCGGGTTCCTCGTCTGAACCAGATTCCTGATGACCTCAGAAGTCCCATGATCCTCCCTGACCACGGGATGTTCCAAGATGGCTGCCGTGTCGTCTGAGGTCAGCAGGTTGAAGCGGATGTGAGGGAGGATGCTGGGTAGGTGCTGCAGTCTGTAGGGTGGAAGACTTTTGTATATCACAGCAGAAATTGCTGGAATGCTGAATTATGTGACTCGCTGTCTGAATTGAACAAAATTAATGCCTGCATCAATGCCATCAACAGAGTCAGATTTCTTCAGTCATACTCATAGTGTTTTTATTACATGTGTGTACTAACTAACTAGAAAAATGAAAGACACCTGTAAACATAACACTGCTGCCCACCTGTCCTCCCTGCTGTGCTGCACCCATCTCACCACAGCCTCCCACACTCTTGTCTCCTCTTTAACCTCCAGCTTATCCTGGCTGATGATCTCAGTCAGCTGATCCACACTCAGGCTGTAGAACTCCTCACTGGAGGAAACCTGTGGAAGTAGAGAACACGCACATGTAGATCAGAACTCAAGGAATCAAATTATAAGGATAGATTGTTAAGCAGAAAGCCAACTAACTAAAGCTAGTCATTATATATATACACAGTGTAGGCAATATTACACTAGATAAAATACAGGATCCCCAATGGAGACAAACCTCAGTAAAGTTCTTGACGATATACTGCAGACAGGGATTCAGGATATTCCTGACAGAGAAGACCTCAGCAAACTTGTACAGGTCCACACAGGTGGAGCGCTCCACGTTCATGGCCATGTAGCTGCTGCAGGTGTCTCTCACATAGTCCAGTTGGAGGAGGTCGGCTGCCTGGTACAGGGGCTGCACTCTGTCCAGGGACACATGGAGGGTTCCCGAGTAGATGTAACTCAGGATCTCCTCAAACATGTCTGCATCCAAACCCTGCAGAACAAATACAACACAATGTTCAAACTTCATAATTTGCTAGAGTCTGTTGATTTTGTAATGACTCGTTTACATTTTGTTATGGAGAATTAGGTACCAAGTTTCATCACATTTTACTAATCGTAGCCTTAATATATTATAGTAAAACAAAAAGAGCTATAGATTTTCAAAAATTGTCAGTGAACTGTGAAACTGGTAAATATTGGACACTAAATTATAGAGCACTTAATTTAACAGTGGGGAGGGGGGCAGTAAACTGTACTCATTTCTGGAAGAATTTATTTAGTTAATATGAACTTCTCCTAATTTCCCTAGTTCTAGCTATGGGATATTTGGCATCTCTGTAAAAATCCTGTTTTGTTCTACGGAACCGTTATGATATTATAAGCGTCAAACCTCACCTGCAAAACAACCGTGTTCTGCCGACTTTCCGCCATGTCGCTTGTAAACATGGCTCTGAAGTAGGGGCTGGCTGTGGACAGAACAAGCCGATGGCAGGGAAACCGCCGGCCCTCGACTTCAAGGACGACATCCTGCAGTTCCCCTTCCTTCTGTAAGTCACCCACAGCTCCAAGAAACCCACGCTGATAGCTCTCGTCTTGGTAGGAACGAGGACGAACTGAGCTGGCGTGGGTTTCTTGGTGCGCGGCAGCCATGTTGATGATGATGAAGGTGCTGTACCTCCAAAGGGAACTGTATGCGTACTTTGATTACCCAAATAATGTAGCAACATGGACGAATAACCGATATGGATATCAGTACAGACAGTACTGTTGACAAAATGGTTGAACTTGGTTCGGTAGTGAAAATACAAGTCACTGAGAGTTTTCACAATTTTATGATATGTTGGCAGGTCTTGGTTGGATGCGGCTACTCTCATGACAGGGCTGATGAAGGCTGGTTCATATGCCCAAAGATGACTGAATATGTACAATGTACATCTAACATCATAAGGTAATCCAATGTAGGGTGTGGGAGCCCCTAAGTCTAAGTCTAATATGGGGCCTGTTGATATATTTTAAAAGTTGGAGAAGCATGACCAGAGAAGTTATCCAGTTGATATATTTTTGTTTTACGTAATGTCTTATCTGGATGTCTATTCATTGAAGTAAAATTAAACTGTTTTAGAAACACTGGGAACCTAAGGGTTAGCTATGAAATATCCTCACTCTGGATTTGTGTAAATCTCAAGTTTTCTTAAAAACAACAACAACAAGAAGCCATAGGTGACAATTCTCCGTGAAGTATTATATATTGCAACAAAAAGAAGTAGCCATTGGCGACAATTCTCTGTGAAGTGTGATAAATCGAACAAAGAAAAATTGTTTAAACGCGTCGGCTCAGTCATCTTAAGACGCAACAACCAATCAGAGATGCGAGATGCCTACACGTGACGCGGGAAGGGCGCGCGATGCCCGAAATATTTTTGCGTCAATATTCAGCGCCGTGATTCAAGAGATTAATACCCGGAAACAATTTTTTTCTTGTTTTGAACGCATTAACATGCATTTACGCTAATCTAGTATGATTCAGGGTTACTTTTTTTTAACCTGCCATGGCCAGATTATCTAAAGATGTGTGTATTGTGTTATGTGTACAATCTATAGAAAGAGAAATGTACATCAGGTCCGATCATCCGATTTTCACGTTTCGGTTTTTTGGACTCGGTTCATGAACGTATTTTGGTTTGGCTCCTGGAATGTGCGGAAAAAAATGACTCCCGGGACTGTCTACAGGGAACACTCGCACATTCGCGGTGTATCAGGACAGCGCGACTGGTCGTCATTAGCGCAGTAACAGTTGCATAAACGGACGAAACCATTTCAAAGAAATGGGGATGTTTCGAAAATAAGCATTTACTCCAATATCAAAACAGCTACGGTAAAAATAAAAAGACGTGCATCATCCCGGACATAATGCAACACCACATGCGAAATTACACAGAAATGCGACGTACGGAAGAATGCGTTTTGGCTGCGAACATCTTCCAAAAAACTTGGCATCTCTTAACCATGGGCAAAAACATCTGGAACCACTTATAAAAACCACCCCGTATCTGCATGAACTTTTTTGAACCCCACTGCTATTCCAAACAACGCGTTTTTCTGGACCATTCCAATTCGCCTCGTAATTGTAGGGGTGCGTCTGCGATATTACATTGACCGCGAAAGCAGCAACGGCAAAAATACACATTCGTGCATCAACACGGGCATGCCCGCAGACGGCGTATAAAATTGCGTGCCGATTACACAAAGAGAACCCAGTGTTTTGACTGCGAACATGAAAAATCAGCCGATTACAACACTCCGTCCGGAGGTCCTGACCTCCTTCACGGAGTAACAACAAAAACAACAACATTGGAACACGTGTGTACGCAAATAACAGTTTAATCTCTGACAAAATGATGATCAAAAAATGTGCTCTTCGTAGTCACATCTCTTTATAAAAAGGATACATTGTCAAGAAGATGCAACAGAAGTGTAATTAAATGCTATCAAACATTGTATTAGTGTGATACAGTAAGGGTGCAAATTAAATTTATAAGTGATATACAATATATGTATTGTGATTTATAAAGCTAAAATCTATTGAAATTAATTAATACATTTTGTGTTAGGTTTAACATGATGAACCAAAGGACAGATAAATATACTGCAATATTTGGACACATTTCTTAAAGAATGTGCTGCCTGATAAGCAACATTATCAGGTCAGTCAGGTCAGGTCAGTCATAAAAAGTCCCTTCACTACTTTAAGAAGCAAACATCACTTTCTAATTAATACCTAACTGCTAGCTTAAATGCAGAAACATCTATATACCATAGTGGGGTACACAGCTGCGCAAGAACTAAAAACTGTACAACACAGAGATAGCCTTTAACAGTACCAGGGAGCTTCAAATAGAAGCCTTCTAAAAGTTCTATTTTGACACTACTAATCCTGCCCTGAAAGCACACAGAATCAACGTATAACAGGTCTGCTGAGGTATGGGGAGAGACAGCCATTTTCTACCGTGCCTATTCTATATTCAATGAAAATGCATAAGCAATGTGCTACAAGTATAAAATCAACTTTGACAATATACTGAGCCAAATCTTAAAACTAATCTACGTGGACGTTCTTGCATGTTCCCACACATTTTCTTATTGGTTGTGCACTACTGAAACATGCCATGGACAACTGGCATTACTGCATTCTTCATGTGGTCCCTCTGGGTTCGCTGCACCATGTTTCTTCATGGTTGTTGGTCAGATATGGTAGGTACATACGAGCCACAGGGTAGGTAGGCTTTTCCGTACTCCAACGTGAAGCATGCAGAGCAGACAACTCTCTCCAAACATCTTCTGACCTGTCATACACGAAAATATGCTGAAGCCGTTTGTACTGGCCTCGACGTGAGTAATCGCCGTACTCTACCAATGCATGCAACTGGTTTTGGAGCACAAAGAGAGTGCAGTTATCAATGACAATGTCCTGACCTTTACTCGGAAACCCTGGGTGACTAACCCAGCTGTCTGCCTGTGTGTCATACACCAATGTCTTCTTGAAGTCATAATCCATGCAGAAGATCTCTGTTCCCATGCCAACTGCTGCACAGAATTGTTCTTCCACTTCAAGACTGTAGTCTGACAGGGGTTTACCAGTCCACTGGTCTTCCCTTGGGTCGTACCAATGTATTTCCCTCTGTGTGATGACATAGATGTGCTGACTACAGGACACTGCTATACTAAAGTCTGACATACTATCATGCTGAGGTGTTGAACAGTTGTGCCACTCATTGGTGTGCTGATTGTACTTCTTCAACACCACCACTTCCCATGTAAGAAGAAGGTGAAAAAGATGGCCATCGATTTCCATCAGGTAGTCATCGTGTTGCATATCGCCTGTCTCTTCAAGTTCTTCATACACAGTAGACTTTCGTTCCCATTTGTTCTGAACATGGTTGTACTTATACAGGGTTATTTTCTCTTCTAAATTTTCATAAGCTAAGATATAGATATCATTATCATGCGTAACAGTACCTAGAAGTGGAAGTACACGTGGGTTGTAGTGACACCTGATGTACTTCCCTTCTCTTGGATTCATCCACAGCATCTCATTACTGCTGTAAAAGGCGAGATGCATTTAAATGAGCAGGCCATACCAATTTAATTTGTTGTTTCTTAGATTAAGAAAAAATATGCCAAAGAGAAATTCAAACATGAAAACAGAGTCAAAGAAGAAGTACTGGTATATACATACTTTAATGAATCAGACAGCAGAACCATTTCCGTGGTCATCCCAAGCCTTGGCTTCCGATTGGGGTGACCGAATTGTTCCACATTCCCGATGACCTCACAACTCCCATGATCCTCCCTAACCAGGGGGTGTTCCAAGATGCCTGCCGTGTCGTCTGAGGTCAGCAGGTTGAAGCGGATATGAGGGAGGATGCTGGGTAGGTGCTGCAGTCTGTAGGGTACAGGGTAAAGATAGAGTTTTGGTAATGTTTTTCATCATTGCAGAAAATATTGAATCATGTGACAAATCAACTTATTGGTATCTTTCACTACATCAATGAAAGATACCTAGGCTATTAACAAAGTGATGCCCACCTGTCCTCCCTGCTGTGCTGCACCCATCTCACCACAGCCTCCCACACTCTTGTCTCCTCTTTAACCTCCAGCTTATCCTGGCTGATGATCTCAGTCAGCTGATCCACACTCAGGCTGCAGAACTCCTCACTGGAGGAAACCTATGAAGGTATAAGATTGCTCTTTTGTTAAATACATGTGCATGTATTTGGCAATTTAAGCATATGTGTTAACAATAACTTAGAAGCAGTCTGGACAACCAACTCTTCAACACACTCAGTGGACTTGGGGTCACCAGGGCCATTTGGTCTCTAAACTAGAGGCTGTCATGCATGAAAATTTATCTCATTAAAGTCTCTGATCACAATGTAAAAAGAAGACCAACCTCCACAAAATGCTGACATATATACTGCAGACAACAGTTCAGAACAACATCCACCATGAAGACATCAGCAAACTTGTACAGGTCCACACAGGTGGAGCGCTCCACGTTCATGGCCATGTAGCTGCTGCAGGTGTCTCTCACATAGTCCAGCTGCAGGAGGTCGGCTGCCTGGTACAGGGGCTGCACTCTGTCCAGGGACACATGGAGGGTTCCCGAGTAGATGTAACTCAGGATCTCCTCGAACATGTCTGCATCCAAACCCTACAGAGGAATACAACACAAACACAACATTTGAACTCCTACCCCACCCCATTTTGTAATGGCCCTTTTTGAGAATAAATTATCAATTTTCATCCCTTTTACTGATGGGATCATGATTAAACAAAAAGTTTCGAAAGTGGTCACTGAACTGTGAAGCTGGTAAATTTTACACCAAAATAGTGCAAGAATCCAATATTCTGAGCCCCCCCCTATGAAAATGGTATAACCCACCACCACCCCCGGTGGTGAGTAGACTAGTCCAGTGACCACTTCTTGGAAACCGGTTTGAACTAGTTCTGATACATACTACTTTTTCCAGAATATTATCGCACGGTACTCACAAGCACAGCTAGCTCTCGTCTCCTCGTCTTCATTGCCTAAACCTTGGGGTCAGGGCGAGGAAGGGCCCGTTACAATATAGTAGTGGGGAGGGGGGCAAATTGCAAAATTTGCCCCCCTTATTATAACAAACTGTGCTAATTTCAGGAAAGAATATGAACCCCTCCTTATTTTGCTGATTCTATGGGATATGTGGTATCTGTGTAAAATGTCTGTTTTTGATCTAGTCAACCCTAATATAGTAAGTGTTAAACCTACCTGTAAAACAACTGTTTGCTGCCGACTTTCCGCCATGTCGCTTGTAAACATGGCTCTGAAGTAGGGGCTGGCCGCGGACAGAACAAGCCGATGGCAGGGAAACCGCCGGCCCTCGACTTCAAGGACGACATCCTGCAGTTCCCCTTCCTTCTGTAAGTCACCCACAGCTCCAAGAAACCCGTGCTGATAGCTCTCGTCTTGGTAGGAACGAGCACGAACCGCGCTGACGTGGAATTCTTGGTCGGCGGCAGCCATGTCGATGATGATCACGGTGCTGTACCTCCCAATGGGAACAAAAAAAAAATAGTTCTGTTGAACTTTGACCCATAAACGCACCCTGATTACACACATAATGTAGCGGTGATCAGTACATCTCACTGTAGTTTGCGTGCCGTTGACTTTACTGTTGTTTAGTGAAAATACAAGCTAACAGGCGTTTTCAAAATTTTATGGTATGTTGGTAGGTCTGTTTGAATATGAATATTGTATAACATAATATTGCAATCAGGCCATAACGTAAGTGGGCCTGCTGAAAATTGGCTTTGGAACAGGTCTTTATGATTAGTCGTAACCTGTGATGCAAATGGATGTGGCGTTAAAATTTTTCATCCCTGTGTCCCTGGACCAAAAGTGGAAGAATGCTTGGGAACCAGTGCAGTAGTAATACTAAGGTGATGTACTTTCCTTTCACTAGAAAGAGTTGTTTGGATGAAAGTAGCAAAATAACAAACATGCCTTACGACTTTGGCATAAAGGACGACTAAGACAAGTGTAGCATTTTATTACTGAATAACAATTACCATATCAATAACCAAACCGTTAATCAAACTACAGTGATCAACAGTTTAAGTTTGCTGCTATCTGTATATCCTGTTTGGGTGTTTTCCATCTTCCTATGTAAAAATAAGACTGAATGATCCACTATCTTTTATCACTAACTGAGAATGGGTCTTCAGAGAACATATCCGGTTTATTTTCATGTATCTTGTGTTACGTAACTAAAATTTTACCTGGATGTCTGTCCTTCATTGACATGAAATTTAAGACTGATTTCCCAACACAGGAAACCTATGGGTTGGTTCTGTAATATCCTCACTCTGGGTTTGTGTTGGGAGAATCAAGAGTTCTCTCAAGAAATGCTTCGGCACACATGTGTACATGAAAAAAAGTTTAATCTCTGTAAAAATAGTTCTTCAAAGAAAATAGAGCTATTGCTATTCATCAGTATTGTTATAAAAAGTATACATTGTCAAGAAGGTGTGACAGAACTTTGAGTAAATACAAGTGTACATTAATTTTGTTAGTGTGATACGAAGGTAGGTGCAAACTAAGCTTTCTATAGATATATAATTCAAGGTGATTGATTAAGTATCAACTGCGCTATAATCTATCAATATTACGTGCCCATACATATGGTTTAAATACTAGTAGTAGTGAATGTAAGAACAGGTACTAACAATAAAATGCACGCAATAATTGGACACATTTCTTCAAGAATGTGTGGTCTATCTGGTAAGTCGTATTTGTATATCTGGTCACTTTGAGAAGCAAGCATCACTTTCCAGTAAAGGTTACAGTGCTAGTTTGCGTGCAAAAACATCTATCCCATAGTAGGGAATTCGGCAAGAACTGGAAACTGTACAACACAGATATCCTTCAACAGTCCTGCGCCGAAAACACACTGAATAAAAGTATGACATTTGCTCAGGTCTGGAGAGACTTAGACTTGTCACCACTGTTCCCTCCAGAACGCAGTGCCTTCTCCTGTTCCATGGAGAGGTATAAAACAAACTTAGACAATGAAGTCATTAAAGTCTGCCTAATCTGAATGTAATCCATGAGGATGTTCTAGCATGTCCCCACGCATTTGCTGCACTACTGAAACATGCCATGGCATGGACAACTGGAGTTATTCTTCACGTGGTTCCTCTGGGTTTTCTGCACCCTGTGCTTCTTCATGGCTGGTGTTAAGATATGGTAGGTACATACGAGCTGCAGTGTTTGTAGGATCCATATACCAAAGCTTACCTGGCAGGACAGCCGACTCTCTCCAAACATCTGTAGACCTGTCATACACATAAACCTGCTCAAATGGCCGGTACGAGGAGTCTGACGTACGGCCATCGGCGCAGCCTAACAATGCATGCAACATGTTTTGGAGTACAAAGAGAGTGCAGCTTTCAATGTTTACCCCTTCAGGGAACCCTGAATGCTCAGACCAGCTGTCTGCCTCTGTGTCATACACGAACATCTTCGAGAACATATTATCTGTGCAGAAGATCTCTGTTCCCATGGCAGCTGCTGAACAGAGGTCGTAATCAAATTCCACTTCAGGATTGCTGTCTGATAGGACTTTCCTGGTCCACCGGTCATCCCTTGTATCGTACCAATGCATTTCCGTTGATGTGAGGAGATAGATGCGCTGATTGCAGGACACTGCCACTTCGAAGTAGAACCGCTCACCATGTTGAGGTGGTGAACAGTTGTGCCACTCATTTGTGTGCTGGTTGTATTTCTTCATCTCTGATGTCATGTGTCGTGTGTCGTGAATGAGGTGAAAAAGATGTCCATCGACTTCCATAAGGTAGTGACTTGGCACCCGTTGACCTGTTTCTACGTACACCGTTGATTTTTGTTCCCATTTGTCCTCCATATGGTTGTACTTATGCAGGATAACGTCATCTGAACCTTCAATGTAAGCTAAGACATAGATCTCATTGTCAGGAGTAATGGTACACCTAACAGGAAATAGGTTGTAGTGACACCTGATGAACTTCGTCTCTCCTGGGTTCATCCACATTACCTCATTTGAGCTGTAAAGAGCAAGATGCAATCAATTAGTTGAAAGTAATGCTCAAGAGGAATACTAGCATGTAAACAGAGTCAAAGAAGAAGTACATGTATATACATACTCTTCATGGTACAGCAGAACCATTTCTGTGGTCATCCCAAACCTTGGCTTCGGGGTGATGATATTTCTGATGACCTCAGAACTCCCACGATCCTCCCTGACCAGGGGGTGATCCAAGATGGCTGCCGTGTCGTCTGAGGTCAGCAGGTTGAAGCGGATGCGAGGGAGGATGCTGGGTAGGTGCTGAAGTCTGTAGGGTACAGGGCTTTTAACTTATGTGACTAAACATGACAAAATTAAGACCCTGTGAATGTCATCAATAAGTCAGGCTTCTTTTAACATAAGACTGCTGCCCACCTGTCCTCCCTGCTGTGCTGCACCCATCTCACCACAGCCTCCCACACTCTTGTCTCTTTATCAACCTCCAGCTTATCCTGGCTGATGATCTCAGTCAGCTGATCCACACTCAGGCTGCAGAACTCCTCACTGGAGGAAACCTGTGGAGGCATGAAATACATGTAACATTACATCTTCATGTACTTTGAATATTTGGCAATTCAAATACATGTGCCTTCATTGAATTTTACCTGTAACTTAGAAGCAGGTGGAACAACCATGTCTTCAACACACTTAGTGAGCTTGGGTCTTGGGGTCAGAAGGGCAAACTGGGGGCTATATGCTGAAAACAGAACAACATGGAGAGATGTCTACAGCCACCATACTGTTAGTTGCAAACACCCATGGACAAGTGTCTGAGTAGCTTACCAAATGCTTTCATTCTGTTTTCAAAAAACTCATCTCAATCATGTGATGTGTCATATTTCTTTACTAATATATTGTGCTGCCATTAGGCCTCTAGGCTGTCATGCATCAAAATATGTTTTATTGAAGTCTCTGAACACAACGTAAAAGAATTCAAATACATGTATATTTGTCTAGCTTAATTGAATTGATGATGAATTTGATCACAGTGTAAAAAATGACCAACCTCCACAAAGTGTCCACATATATACTGCAGACAAGAGTTCAGAACAACATCCACCCTGAAAACATGAGCGAACTTGTACAGGTTCACATAGGTGGAGCACTCCACGTTCATGGCCATGTAGCTGCTGCAGGTGTCTCTCACATAGTCCAGTTGGAGGAGGTCGGCTGCCTGGTACAGGGGCTGCACTCTGTCCAGGGACACATGGAGGGTTCCCGAGTAGATGTAACTCAGGATCTCCTCAAATATGTCTGGATCCAAACCCTGCAGAATACAACACAAACACAACGTTTAATCTCCTACCCCATTGCTAGTGTCTGTTCATTTTGTAACGACCCTTTTGGAGAATTAAGTACTAGTACCAATTTTTATCCCATTTACTGTTGGTATCATGATTAAACAAAAAGGGCTACAAAGTTTCGAAAGTGGTCACTGAACTGTGAAGCTGGTAAATTTGACACCAAAATACTTGTACTAGTAGTGTAAGAATCCAATATTCTGATCCGTGGTAGCCCCCGTAAGGGAATGGTAGAACCTGTCACCCCCGGTGGTGAGTAGACTAGTCCAGTGACCACTTCTAGGAAACCGGTTAGAACTAGTTCAGATACGGCATGTCTTCTCCAGAATACATACTAGTAACACGGTACCCACAAGCACACATCTCGTCTCCTCGTCTTCATGATGCTTCACTGCCTAAACATTGGGGTGGGATCCCGTGGACGGGAGGGGGATAAATTACAAACTGTGCTCATTAAAAAAAATCATGAACTCCTCCTAAAGTGGTTCTATGGGATATGTGGCATCTCTGTTTGCATCTCTGTTACGTGTCTGTTTTGGTCTAGTCAACCCTCGTTAACCCTACCTGTAAAACAACCGTGTTCTGCCGACTTTCCGCCATGTCACTTGTAAACATGGCTCTGAAGTAGGGGCTGGCCGCGGACAGAACAAGCCGATGGCAGGGAAACCGCCGGCCCTCGACTTCAAGGACGACATCCTGCAGTTCCCCTTCCTTCTGTAAGTCACCCACAGTTCCAAGAAACCCGTGCTGATAGCTCTCGTCTTGGTAGGAACGAGGACGAACTGCGCCGACGTGGATTTCTTGGTCTGCGGCAGCCATGTTGATGATGATGACGGTGCTGTACCTCCCTGGGGAACTGCTTTGTAGAAAACCGCATCCAAACATCTTTCGGAGTCTTAGATGGCCTTAGATGACTATCAATGTACAATTCAAATAGTATCTACATAAAATTTGTTTGTTAAAAATATGTTATGTAGTTAATTTCCTATCATATTTGTGGCGATAACGATATGAACATATATAATGGTTGTCGTGTAGGTGCGGTCTCGTTCTAAATCGCTGTTTTCGGAAATGAACAAAACTTAGGCGGGAGTTAAATTTTGCTCCCAGCTGCTCTCTCTGTTGTTTCTAATTCCAGTCTTAAGGTGTCATTAATACCAAAGCTAGTCTAGTGTTATGTGGAGCTGCAGCTTGCCAGGTAAGATGCCGTTTTGAAATGTTCTGACAGAAAATGTGGAGGTAAAGTCGATCTCCAAATTAGCAGACGACACTTGGCACATTTTGACGTGTCAGTGGGGAAAAATCGAATAGAAACAGCCTTCAAACAGGGCTTATAAAGTCATGAAAGTATGTATTCTAAACCACGAAGATCTTTTAGTGGCTGGCAAAAAATATAGGATAATGTATGTGCAGTACTAGTTTTAGTCACTATGTGTCCCCAATGAGCTAGTAGGTGAGTTCACATCAGGAGGTGTACCAACCTCTCTGTTGTATCCAGAACCTGGCCCCATACCAAGGGCAAATCTTCGCTCTTCAATGGATTAAACTCCGTAGTATCACAGGTAATATATATAAACTTGGACTCGTAACTGAACAGTTAAATAAGGTAATGAATTGCACAATATATGTGTGAAATATTTTAGATGACTTTAGCAGATACAGTCTTGTGTGACATTTGATGTTGAGATTTTATCTACAGTTGCAGATATGGAGGAGATGTGGCAACTCTGGACCACACACAGTCATGATGTCATGGCACAACTGTACACACACAGTCGTGATGTCATAGGAAACCTGTGCACACACAGTCATGATGTCACAGCAGAGCTGTGGAGGGTGTGGGACCTGGTACAACAGTCAGTGGTTGCTATGTTGGCTGGTAGGTGTCATTCAACTGAACATGATATCAAGTCATGTAATTCGCCTTTCACAGTTCAGAAATCCTGTTGTCTCCAACATACATGTATATCTCCAGTATTTAGTGATTCCAAGGACATTATTATACTAGTACTACGATGTCCTTTGGTGACTCGTATGTGTGAATTAGTGTTGTTCAGGTGTGATTATAATGGTACATGTACTCACAGCTGGAAACATCAAAAATGTTTGAGACTTTGACTCTCATACTTGACATACACATAAAGTCACACACACACACACACACACACACACACACACACACACACTGACACACACACACACACGGACACACACAGACTCATACACACACACACACTGACCCATATACTCACACTTGACACACACACACACACACACACACACACACAATGACACACACACGTGACGCACACACACACTACACACACACACATACTAGTCATTCACACTCACACACATAAGACACAAAGATAAGCATTCACCAATATATAGACACAAACACTGGTGGCCATGCTCAAATAACTTAAGGCTGTCCTTCTCCTTTAGTCCTGATGCAGGTTGCTGAAGGATCATCTATGAAAGCAGATGTCTGGGGACAGAGACTTGCCGTGGGTTTTGTAGCTGTGCTGCTGACTGCCATGATGTGTAGGATAGTCGTACATGTCACACAAGGAGGTGAGTTAAACACCAGCTGTAGTTGTTAGACATATTTGTCACCTTTTGAGAGTAACTGAAAGAAACTTTTGAGTGATACATGTATCTCCATATTTTCAGGCAGAGAAGCTACAAAGAAGCGGAGGGTTACAAAGTGCAGCACCAAACCTAGATGTCTTCAGTCACCAGGCCTAAGAGACATAGACCTGTTTGATTTAGCAAAGGTTTGTATTATCATCCTGACCCACGGCGCATATTCCATCGTCTCAAGAGACGAAAAGGATGCCAACAAGTCTGTATTATTATCTGAAAAACAGAAGATATAGGTGACAAAAAAACTCAGGCTATCTATAAGTATATAGCTTTTTGTCAATGATAGAAGTTATAATGTATTCATAGGTTTTCAAAAATGGTGTGTTAGATGTGGCAGAGGCTGTCATTCTCAAACTGTCTTCAAGTAATCTGACAAGATATGGTATTGGATGGTATTAGAGAGTCTTTGAATCTGTTTAATGTTTGCCATAGTAATGCCATAGTCTTCTGCAGACTGCCTACCGACCAGGCTATGCAAAGAAGGTAGCAGAGGAAGTGGAGAGACGTCACCTGGACATCAACCAGACCCTCCCCAGTACTGGGATGTCCCTGTTTCTGGTATGTTAGGAACATAATTTATAGCCTATGTTATGTATTCATGCCTTCAAGTACTAGAGTTGTCAACCAAGGATTGAGGTATTAAAAAAAGTAATTTTTCTCTGGAATTATCACAGAGTGGAACTCACTGCCACTAAGTATAGTAGGGATGTCATCACTAGATTCAACAACATTTACAGCTGTATAACAGGTTGGTCAATGTAATACAGCCAGTTGCCACTGTGTGATAAAGCCTGTGAAGTTAATTATACCAGCTATATATAGACACAATACAGATGTAGGGATTTTCTCTTAGTGCAGGTTACAACCAGAAGTTCATGCCATTGCTTGACATGCACCCAGAAAAACTGATCATGCTCTTAGCATATCAATGCAAATCATAGGTACATTGTTGTATAGCTATCGGACCAAAACAGGCTGTGATATCTAATGTTGCACTATGATGTTTATTTGTTTTCTTCCTCCTGTCTCGTTCCAGTGTTCCTGTCTGAGTGGCTCTCATGAGCTGGTACACAAACTCATCAAGAAAGGTATGCCCATGGCAACTCAGAGAAAGCATGGACTAAAAAATGTATCTGTTCACACCCGTATCTGTTTGTACCTGTAGCTGTTTTGTACCTGTTCACACTTGTACCAGTGTTCATACTTGTACATGTATGTTCATACCAGTAGCTGTCCATACCAGTAGCTGTTTTGTTACCTGTTCACACCTGTACTTGTTGCAGGTGCAGACATGCAGGTGCGCTCTGCGGCAGGTGACAGTGCGCTGTACCTGGCAGTATACGGCTGCACCTGCTCACACCAGACCAACTTGTCCCTCGTACGCAGTCTCATAGATGCAGGTAAAGTTCTGAGAATACAAGAGTCTCCTAGAGTTGTTGCTGCCAAATAAAGGTAAAAAGGTACTCCCATATCCTTTTTGAGGCCATGGGGGAAATGGGTTGTTATACACTGTGTCTAGGGTATGGTATTGGAAGGTGGAGCCCATCCCTCTCCTTCCATTGCCTTTTACCTCCCCAACTGAAAGTCAGGTACCTATTTTATACACCTGGATGGCGTGAGGAAAGATGTGATAAGTGCCTTTCACTATGACACAACATCTAGCCAGGTATGACAGGTTAAACTCATGAACTCTAAATCTTGTGTCTATGCCACAAAAAAAATACTTGATTTTATTTTGTACAATCATCTGTTTTGAAAAAAAAAGTTATTGGTATACATTATATACTTAGTATTGGTCACCTGGTATGACCATCCTTTATACTATGCACCTATCATCACCATCAGGTCAGTCTGAATGTGCTGTATACTTGTATCCAATACTAGTACCTGTCTTATGTAAGCCTACACGAATACAGTATCTGCATGCAGTCAAGGATGAGGTGCACAACTTGGGTGCACAAAAGTCCAAAGTAATGCACCCAACAGCCATGATTGGAGAAGACCTTGTCTAATCGATTAACCGTACACCTATTAACGCTAGAATCCCACAGGTGTGACCGGATGAATCATCTCTCCATTGTCTGGAAACTTTGCACTTCTGTCTGACTTAAATACTCTCCATTCTCCCCTTTGTTACCCCCGTCTTCTATCATTGTACCCACCGTCAACACCCACTTGGTTTAACTAGGTCATCTTTTATGGCGGGGAAAAGACTCTGTATCTATTTTTGCATGTTAATCGGAAGACAGATGCGATCACAAAGGACGGGCACAAAAATAGTAGCGGAGTAACATTTCCCTATTTGTTATCTTTTCTTCTGGTTTTGTACCCGTTCACCTGTTGGGAAAAACATTACTGCGCTGGCTTTCTAACCTGCAGTAACCCAACACACACACAAGGACAGATATGTTGTGATGTTGCTATAAACAGCTATAGTCTTAACCTTTAGGTTGCTAACGGGGGTACTTGTTGTCATGGTTACTAAGATAATCTAAGGGGCCACCAAAAAGCCACAATGGCCAGGTGGTCCTTATGTACAGGTTTGACTGCATTGTGTGTTTCAAATTTGCCACAAAGACTGTGGTCATGGGAAGATCACATCAGACACAAGGTGCAGTTACTGTATCTTGTAAAGCATACATGTACTGTACAATTAAAAGATATGGCAATTTGGCATATTGGGCAGTGAATGTTTCAATTGTGAAGTTAAACATGTATCCCTGTCAAAATTCATCAATTGTGAAATAGTCTAAGACTTTCAAACATATTTGTCTAAATATCTGAAGTGTTGGGATTTGCTTTGAAAGTTTGCTGCTAAAATAAGCTGTGTTACAGTATACATGTACACCTCTCTTGCAGGTGCAGAAGTTAATGAAGCCCTGTATCCAGTCTTTGTCACGGTCATTTTTAATCACCTGGTAAAAAGACCCCCCCCTTCACGGTCAGCTGAGCTGAATCACCCAACATGTACTACATGCCGGTGGTTTAACTCACAGTCTTCATGTCCCTGAGTGGTTGAAATACACACTCTTGCACTCAAGTTTTATTTGCTGTGCAAGACTCATTGAACGCTAGGTTGCCCAAATTTTACTCCCTTCCCCATGCTTTTCTGATGCCTGCTTCATACATATATGTTCTCATCTTAAATTGTCAGAAAACCAATGAAGTAGAATGGTACAGCCCTATGACATGATTTCTTGTCCATGAAGTGTCATTTCCTGGCCAAAACCTCACAACCTCTGCCGACATAGCGTCTCAGCTATCATTGACGTCAATTCACCGTGCTGTTTCAAAAGGTTGTTTATAAAAAAACCTGGGGAATTGTCCAAGTTTTGTTGGTGGCGGTATTGTCAGTCGGTGACACACATCCTGACTATCTGTGGCCACCACTGAACCGTCCAAAGTAAACTTTCTCTGGAAGCTCGCATTTGGCGGCGCCGCGGTTTGGATGACCCGATCGTTTTTCATAAGCCCCATTGACACCTACCCAGGTGCAACTGTCGTGATAATATTTTTTTGTGTGTTGATACTTCAATGCTGAAGTTTTCTTGTATCAATTTTTGTTGACTTTAATAGCTACATGAGTGATGGTGTGTTTGGAAATTCTGCTGGCAGGTTTCCAAAACTTTCACACACCCAGACACAACTGTTAAGGCTGTCTAAACTTGAACATGAAGTAGAATATTGTAGAGTAATACACACAGCATCTGAGTTAGACAAAACTATACTGTCAGATAAAATCTGATTGTTATATGAAAAAGGTTTGTTATTTGGTGAGAAAATGGTATATGAAGAAGCTTGTTGGCTGGCCAATGTGAAAGCATTTTATGTTCAAAAGTGACTGTAAATTCATCTCTCTTGAACAAACAACATTTTTAAATCCAAGACAGGGAAAAAGGAAAAAGGATATGAAACAACTGATTGCAGTTGTAGCCCCAAGGGAAGGAACTACAATTACCATAAGATTTGTGGCATTTACCTTTTTCTTGGCTAGTTGATAGCCAATAAAATGTCTTGATGTGTTGAAGATTATCTTATTATCCGTAAAAGTAACTGTTATCGTTATAATTCAAGACTTTGTCAATGTGAAATTCCTTGATTTGTTCTGTCAAAATTCACTTCCACGGTAAGATATAGTTTCCAATCCTCTTATATATTGTTGGGTAATAAAAACGTTTTGTACCTTTATCTGAAAACTTAAGAAACCTCCAGATATCTGGGTGTTTCTCTCATAAGGTGGCAGCCCCCTGTGTGGCAGTAAGCACGTGCAATGTTTGTTTTTGTAAGGGAAGCTTGGATTCCGCTAACAAAGTGTCGAACAATGTCTACAAAGTGGCGGTCTGCAAAGGCCTTTGTGCGCTGAAAGGCGCGGAGATGGGGTTACGGAAAGGCCCAGTTCTCCCCAAACCTGATTAAGTGGTTGTGTTGTTTGGGGCCAAAAGGTCGGGGGAGAAAAGGCCGACTTTGTAGACAGCGCCAGCCGTGATTACTGTATCATCTTTGTACCACAGTGTGAAAGGGTCCTGGGAGAGATAGAAACATGAACCACTGATACCCTTGCCCTGAGATGAGGTTACAAAGAAAACTCTTCTAATCTCATGCAAGCGAAGCAAAATAACCTGCTGACGCACTAAAGGGAACGACGTAGAAACTGTAGCAACTTTCCCCGTCAAGCTTGACTAATATCACATCTTTCTGACCTGAGAGTCGGTGATTTTTGACAGAAAGATGGAGAAATTATGTTCAGTCATTAAGAAGGTATCGTCTGACCCATAGGAAGTTGTCCCGTCATGGGAGGGTTGATCTGTGTCGATATATTACCAGATTAATCCGGAGATAGCCTTACAACGGCACCGCTTCTGTTACCCAGAAACTCTTCAATTTAGACATCTAATAATGCCGTTAGAAAGTAACTCCTAGCCCTGGGTCGCGATCTGCTTGTTCTGTTTTTCTATCGGTATTTTCTTAATATTTTGAGTAATGTTGTACATGATGTTACACTATACCCCCTTCTTGGGAGGGGGATATCAACTGATCAACTGAGCAAGGATTTTGCTTTGATATTTTTCAAACATTTATTCTAGAGTATGGAAAAGCTTGATGTTAACAACAGAAAACCGAGAAGGGTTGAGATGCTACCCATCAAAAAGGACTTTTTTCCAACATGGTTTTTGGTTCGATTCTCGTATGCGAATATGGTTAAGAAAAATTTAACATGCTTTATTCCTGTATCAATATGGTTGTACTCTGATGTAAGTGCTAAGGAGCAGTTAGACCAGGCCTATCCAGTTTTAACTCTTACAGCACCTCTGCAGTGTACAACCACCTGTTGGATTCTGTGTTGTTGACTTTACTTAGGGATAGAACAGGGAGCATTGAAGGTGCAGAACTACAGCAGAAGAAGTGTGGAAAAGGCTTCCAATGCCTTTGATAGCAATTGACTTTATTGACTTTATTAGGATCCACATTTAGCATACAGGACTGTAGCTTCCTGTGGTCAATTTTAACGCACATACGACACACAGGGAATATACAAAACATAAATACATTGACAACAATAGCAAAATACTAGCACACAACGACTCTAGATTGGTACAAGTGACACATGAAGTCCTTGTCAGGAATCAATCCCATGTGAGTTTTTCTTGTGGCATCATCTCTCTTTTGCTCCTTGATCCTGTATTTTACCAAAGCTAGAAATAACGTCCCAAAAAATGTAATATGCACACTTAAGTTTTGCAGGGATTTTGGGCAAAAAATTTGATGTCAGTGAAAATCCCTATCTTTTAACATATAAACTTGCCCCTTGATACAACATCTTTACCTAGACTACAAACGGCCCACTAAAGACTGTTAAACAATACATAGGTCCTCAGTCGATCAGACCACCCTTGATCAACCCCCTTCCATTGTCAACAGCCGACTAATTGCCTGATATCGACTTACTGCAAACAGATCGCGATACCCCCCCATCCCTCAGCGGCATAAGAACCCTGCTGCGTGTGACCAGTGTGTGCAGGAATGATTAGAAGCCGGTTCTACCCGGCCGCCGCGCGCTGCATCCGTCTGCTATCTCTGCGTCTTCCGCCTGTGTTTGCTGCCACCCTGCTCCTGTGTTTACCTCGTTTTTTTGCGCCCTTGCCAAGAAGAAATTTGACCTTGAGCGCTCCTATCTACTCCTTAAGAGCTTGAGAAGAGCGAGAAAAGCTTGCTGGGAAGTCATTCCTAGAATACTTACGACCTACTTACACATGTAACAATATAGTACCTTCCTTGTTCCAGGGCCCCCCAAAGAGTAGATTTTATCTTAGATTTTATCTTCACCCACTTAAGTGTGAATCAAGAAAACGATCTCCAACCCTTAAATGCTTTGTTGGAAGGACGGATTCAATTTTAGTCTTAAAAGCTCCTTGACAAGCCATTTCCTTCGATAAGAAAGGCTCTACTTCTTAATTGTGAAAGTTAAACGTTAGGTAAACATAATAAATCTGCGAAACTTAAATGGTTGGCGGGAGATTGGCTTTAGACTAAGCTCACTTTTGGTGATTTTGTGTATTAGAGGAGGGTTTGTTGTATAAAAGATGAGGTAGTGTGATACTACTGTTATAGGGGTTTAAAACAGGCTGGATTCAATGAGGCTAGTTTACCTAAACCCCCACTGGGTAGAGACTGGTACGAGGTGGGACAATCATGCTGCTATTCCTAACACTGGGTAAATGGCAGAAGAATGCCCAACTTTGCAAAGCCTTTCTTTCTTTCTCTCTCCTTTGTGTCGCTGTGTATTTCTTTCTGGGAGGAATTCTTGGTTTCCTATGAAGTTCTGGATTTCTGGTAGAGATCGCAGCATAATGATAGTCCTATGGATTTATGATGTCCTTCACGACTTCCCTTATGTTTTCTTCTGGTGAGAAAATATGATAAAAAAGGATTTTGGTACCTTTCTAATAGAATATAGTTTGTAATCAACACAGTTTCATAGCAATCTTTGAATACTTTTAATGTAGCAATGGCAAAGACTTTAAGATTTCAAAGTTTGTTATTGTAAATGTCAGAGCAATTCAAGTCCCTTGCAACTCTGTGCACTTTTGAGATTGAATAAATCATTATAAATCATTATCATTATTATCATTATAATATTTTCTCCTTTAGTTTTTTGCAAATTATGTAGAACAATACACATCTATCTAGGTCATCTAGAAAGACTGAGGAACCTTTGTTGTTTTTTGCTTGTGCAGGCTGTGATGTGAATGCTGCCAATGACCGAGGGAACACCCCCCTGCACCAGGCTGCCATGAGTGGGAACATCCCACTCATCAAGCTGCTGCTCAAACATGGTGAACATTCTCAAACCTTCAGACATGCCCTCACTGTTATCTATTGAAGATTTACACCTCACCAGTTTAATCAATTGGTTCTCAGATTTGCCTACTTCATTTTTTTTCTGGTTTCTAAAATTAAGTCTTAGGCCCTAACAGTTCAAGAAAGTCCTAACGCTTGTCTTCCTACATTGTACTTTGTTACAGTGTTTTGTGCTATCAGTTAAGTAGTTTGAGTAAAAAGTTTGAAATTCATAACAGGTGACCATCACCTGTTCAAGATGACCAGACTGTAAGTTTTGAACCATTCACACAGGAAATAACCACAGTTTTCAATAAGTGTGGTGGGTTCTTTTACATTCCTCACATTTCAAAGTACCCTGTCAGAAGGCTAGTCCCACCTTTTTTTGTTATGTAAAGTCCTTAGAACATACTTTCATCTTCATTTCAAGTTTCCAGCTTAGGAAAAATCGGTAGTTTAGTCATTTGAAAGCTTAGAACTGAAGCCTTGAAGAATGCAGTACAAGTACAGTCATCGGTCAGCCTAATCGATGAGTTATTGTCAAAATAATCTAAGTTGTTTATAGGGTGAAAGATCTCCTTCCACAAGAGTAGAGTTTCTTGCTGAGGAATTTGAAAATATCCGCCGTCTAGTCGTTTCAAAGATCAGAACTGAAGCTTAAGAATGTAGGACAAATGCAATCATTGGTCAGTCTAATCGATGACTTATTTTCAAAATAATCCGTCGTGTTTATGGGGGCTGGGATCATCACGTAAGGGAACAGACTATCTGCATCCGGTACCGTTCTACAAAATAGTCAGCCACTTTGTAACTTGGGCAGGACAAAGCACCTCTATTTATCACACCCTGTACTCTAGAGGGGCATCCAATTTACGCAACACGAAGGGTGTTGCGAGCGATTGAATGTGTCGGTCACAATTGCGGCTATCGCGTTACGCGCAGCACGTCTGTTGCCAACTTTTCTCGGGGTGTTGCTGTTTATCTTACTTGAGTTCCTGTCCTTTCATGTGCTTGTTGGTTTTAGATCATGTTATTTCAACCCCACATCGGTCGCTTGGCCACCTATTTGGCAGGGGACGTACGTAGGTGGCACTGACCAGTTTGGCTTCCTCACGTTTTCAGGTTCCGACCCTTACATCGCGAACAGTGCCAACATTCTGCCCATCGACTGCGCAACAAACACAGGTCAGCTTTTCAATTGTTCTTTATATAATATAACACCTGCTGTACAAGAACTTATTACAACCATGTCAACTGCATCATTCCAAGTCTTTTAGTTTCTTCCTTGTTTGTAGATGGTTTTGGATGTGAGGAAAAGGTGTGATTGAGTTTGTTATCATTGTTTATAAGCTAGAGGATAATAAACAACCTCTGGGCTAATAGAAAGTTGAGAATAAACCAATATGTTTACACTAAGCGGTAGTGCAAAACTAGGTCAGACAAATAAAGTACGGAGCTCGTTGTTCAAGCACTATGACTTACATGATGAAGTTTTGGATCCATGGTCTTACTCAAACACTTCGAAGTACTTCTATGTGTCATTAGCTGCAGTCAATTTTGTATTCTTTTTGCTGAGCAAGAATATTCCGTTGTACAGTTGATATGACCGCTAAAAGTCATGTTTGCAAACTTACCGCAACGACGTTAACAGTTCAAAGAATAAATATTGACAAACCTGAACGCGTAAAGCATATAGCTACCAGTTGGACTTTCAATAGTCCAAATTACTTATCAGCACAGAGATTGCAAAATGCTTGGTCATGACGCGAGGAACTGAAATAGGCCATAGATGTTAACAATTTTTTGCTACAGCTGTCATCTTTAAAAGAGTTCTGTCTTGCATGTAATGATGGGGGTATCAAAATCTGTATTATGATGAAGACATTGCTGATTGCATGGGTGGGTGGTCCTGCATCACAGTTGATAGCTTGCAAGTGTGACCATTTGAAGATAGCAAGAAAGTTTGGACCTCACTCTTCAATGAGCCGGAGTCCTAAGGCCTAGGAAAAAATGTTGTTCCTGTTTCAGTCCTGAAAAAATTAGGGTGGGAAGGTAGGGATTATCTTTTTTTTTCCTTTTTTAGACTTCAGTGATATCTATATAGTCATCCAACTTATACAACACAGTTTAACAAAGTAAAACTTGCATGAGGACACTTTTATTTTCAATGTCAATGTTAGAAAACCAGTTGTACAACGTTTTATCACCTAGGTGTCAGATCATGGAGTTCGAGAAGGTCAATCAGCTTGAAAAATTTATGTCCTTTGCAGGGGTCCACCAAAAAAAGTCTAGGGTCGGCAGTTTTTCTAGGGTCGGTTGGGAAAAGGAAACACAACCTTTTTTCATAGGCCTAATATCCTTCTACCAACCTGATGAAATTATTTTCGGAAGTGACATGTTGTTGTTTAACCCCAGGCCACCTGGTTGCTGCTAAGCTGCTGCGGGTTAAGATCAGCGCTCCTGACCAGGTCTGGGATGTGGTGGAGCCCCACACCCCGCTCAAGGTCACCCTGGGCTTCATGACGCCCAGCAAGAACCACCTGGCAGACTCCTCCTTCAGTCAGAAGAGACTCATGTTCCACTCCTGCTAGATGTGCCACGAGTTACCATCCCTGGTTTTTCTGTTGCTCCGACGTTTTGAACCTTGTTGGGAAGTTTTCAGGCCATCTTTGGAGAGCTGTTTGCTGCTGAGGTAGGGGGGTCAAAATCCCTTTATTATTTTTTTAAATCTTTTATTTACGTTTATTTATTGAGAATTGGCCAAAAAGCAGAATACTTGTGCCTCCAAAAATACATTGGGTAGGAATGTAATTAATGGATTCAGAAAACCATCAAAAGTATTTTTTTCTTTATTTAAATTATATTTTAACCTTCTTCCTACTGCCTATCCCTTTAATCAATAGGCAGTTGGTAGTCAAACAGTTTGGTGTGCCTAATGTGGTATGCAAAAGCAAAATTTGCAAGACTGCAAGCTTACTAACAACCATAAACATGGAATGCAGTTTCTGTTAAGGTCATTCTAAAAAAAGAAAGCAGGTTGAAATGTACAATTTACTAACCTGTGTTTAGAAATAGCAAAAGTATTAGTTGATAGCCTATATAGATGACCTGTGTGACCTAACTTACATTTGATATCAATATAGTATTACATGCTCAAAGTAATCGAAAATCTTTTGACTCCACCAAACTATGTTGTACATCTTTCTACTGCCCCAGATCTCTTCTAGCCAAAAGTAGGGTTTTTTGCCTCTCTATAATATGGCTCAATTTTACATTGTTCCTAGAAGGGATTGTATTTATCAACTGATGTAGAATATTTATTGTACACTTGTACAGGTATGAATATAGACTTGTTATGTTACACTTTATTCACTTGTGAAAATGATGCTTCTAGAACATATAGTTGTCTGGTTCATATAGCTAGAGTTTTGGAGACTGTTGTAGCTTGACTTCAAACAAAACTGTTATAAACTACTTCTTTATGTAAATATAGTTGCTTCTGAAGCTTTCTACTTTGCCTTGAACTACTTGCTCACACTCTCATGACTCCTGTTAGGAAATAGGTGTTAAGTTCCTTTCTTACATGCACAAAATTGGGGCCTGCCACTGCCAGGGACTCAAACTCAGAACTTTTAGATGGTAAGTCAAAAACCCTAACCACAAGACTACCTTGCTACCTTAACCTTAGCCTAAGCACTTAGCTTAGTCCTCCCTGTTTAAAAACATGCATGCTGCAAGAATAGATATTAGATGCTTGGCAAGAGGACTTCAGTTGCAACAGAAATTTCGTCTCCATCAGTTGATAGGTTTAACATACATGTATATACTTATATACCTAAGACTGAGTTCAAACGTAAAGAAGAAACAAAAGCCAACACCCCCTTTTCAGCAGTATCCCTTCCCGTTCTTCTGAATTAAAAGCTTCCTGTATCAGAGCAGAGATTTATTAACTTGAAGTTTGCATCAATGCAACCTTACGTGTTCCACTAAGTTCAAACTTGAAGAGGAAACAGAAGTCGCCCCTCCCCGTTCCCCCTGCAGTATCCGTTCCAGTGCTTCAGACTTCCATTCGCTCCTGAATCCCTTTTTCACGGCAGAGGGAGAAGGAACAAAACCTGTCGGCGGCTGTTGACAGACGTTTCAATGGGTGCTTCATCTCAACACCGCAGAAAGAAGGATATCCGAGCCACTGGGCAGGCCGGAGCTGCAGTAAACAGGCCTCATGTTGCTGCCCAGTTTATTTTCTCTGTTTTGTGGCAGGCGCTTGGCTGTTTGTCAGTCGTCTTTCAGGTTTTTTTTTTGTGTGGAGTTTCTTTAGAAAACGTCATGGTGACCGCATTGGTGTTGGCCAGTGAAGTTGGAGGAATGCCAGGCTACATAGAAATCGGAATTCAGACTCCGTTTTCGTTGAGCCACACTCGAAGTTTTGGAACGTTTTCGAAAACACTAGTACTTTTTTCATCGTAGCGGCAAGATTGCAACAAAAAGACGGGTTTAGTTCCAGTCTGAAATACGTACCAGTGTCGTGGTTCATGTCCACCGAATGACCGACAGTGACCCTCGCAGCAATTTCGGCCTTCAGGGGCTTTTAAATTGTAATCCAGATCCCCATTCCTTTTGCGCAGTGTCCGAAGTGATCTTGGTCTTTTTTGTCTTCCGTTTTAAAAAAAAAATCTCTACAATTTTAGTCTGTCGTCTTTCTCATATACAACGGAGAAACTCTTTAACGACAGACACCGTACACTTAACACCGATGTTAAATGTTACATACACCAAGACCTTGTAGTTTGATATATCCACGGGGCATGGAAGTAACACTTTTAATGTTATAACGTTACCATTTTGACGGATGTTTTAGCTTTTTCAGAATCTTTTTGCTTCGTCGACAGAGGGTAGTAATATCTAGCAGACATTTTTGCACGGACTATAGTGGCTGTCGCTAGCTTGAAAACCACAGCTGTGGCGATATTTTCTCCAGAATGCAACAGTAGACGGGTATAACCTGGGTGACTTGTGTCGCCCTCGAAAGTCGTAAGTCGTCGTCACGATTTTTATGCCTTAAGATCTTAAAGCAAGCTGTGACAGAACCAACCGACGACAGGTAGCCTTTTCCACAGCCGAATTTCGTACCACACATGCACAACTGTCCCACGAATTCCCTGCAATCGTACTACGACGAATGTGATCGAGTCCTAAAGGAGGTACAAGTTAATAAACCTTGGGAGTTGGGGTGACAAAGCGGCTTAGCGTACCACATGTTTACTTTGCAAATATGCCGTGTCAACTAATTAAGGGGCGGCTATTGTGGAGCCAGGTCGTCGTGACATAGGATTTCCCCTGATTTGTAACAGGTGGTTCCCTGCATTGTAGGGTGGTCTTGAAAGCTTTGCTTACAAATTTTAACGATATTCGTTTTAACGATACAAATATTTCGGAGCTAAAAAGGTCTTATTTTTCAAACACTTTTGCAAACGTCAATTTCTTAATACCTTAAGCACCTGATTCTGATTTCTAGTATGAGTTTCTCTCGGCTTTACTTCATTCATATCTACAATCACTTCTTAAGACAACATGCTGCATTTCTACTGCGTTTTTGTTTTGAATCTTGCATTTGGTCCGTTTTCACCACAGAACGATTGCAAAGTGAATGAACTCTTGGGGCATGTAGTCTGTATCTGTATAGACGGTACGTATAACCGCCCTTAGGCGTAACACACCAGCTACACAGGCATGCGGCGCGACGGTAGCTAGCAATATCACACCGAACGACTTGTTACACCTAACTTGGTCTAGTTGCACTTGTGTCCTGCAAAATTCAGCCTTTTGTTTTGGAAAAGTCTGTCTGGGTTAGTTCTGTCCCAGCCCGCTAGAAAATTCCACGGCATCAAAATCTACGGACCAATGCTGCCGCATCGTAACTGAAGATCCAGAAACGCTCCGGTTTAATCTAACGCGATTTCGTCAGAATCCTTTTCCGGTCTTGGAGCGTGGTGTGCAGATGTCCTTCGTTGCTAGGTAACGCAAGGACGAGTCGTGGCGCCTCTCCAGCCTACTTTTACCTGTGAGTTAATTAGGAGGTGTTGACAGGTGTGGAGCGTGCGGCAGGTACGTGTTACCTGTGCTCAGGTACGCGTTACCGGCACCACGTGTGCGCGGACCCGCCAGCACGTTCTCGAGTGTTTAACCTGTAAATAGTAAATACACTACTGCAGGTTGTGTTGGTGTTAGCTGCCTGGTGTGGGCTTTTTAACAATTCCTCGGTCTTGGCATGGTATCGCTGATGATGGCAGTTTCCTTGTTTCTATCGTTAAGGGCCTGTGGCATCCAGAACCATACTCAGGCGCTGTTCTGGATTATCCACGTGTGTCCAGAACCGTGCCTGATACGTGCAGACTACCCGTTCTGTGTCCAGGCCCAGGCACGGTTCTGGATAGTCCACACGCATCAAGAACCGTCCCTACGTTTTTGGATACGCGTAGACTGTCCAGAACCGTTCCTGATCCTAACCCAAACACAACCCAGTCGTACATGTGCCGTAGACAATTTAGCCGTACATCTTGTTATAATTACTAGAAAGTCTGTCATAGGTTTTGTCACAGCCTCTGCTTAAAGATTCCACGGCAGCATAATCGACGACTGTAACATTGATAAAGTGTTCGAAAAATGACGGCACTACTAAAACGCGGATAGGAGACTATCGCAACCACACAGCATCACACAGACTTATGACAACATCCACGGCTTCCTGTTAGTGTATATACAGTGTTGGTTATAGAAACACGTCTTCACTTTCTCTCCCTTTTCACTCTCTGTGCGCAGACTGTGTACCTGGTACATGACCTGTACATGTGTAGAATTATTTAGGTCCAGGTCCTGACATGAACATCTGGTGTATTTGTACCACAAGAAAATGAAATACTAGTGGGCACCAATGTTTTACACTGAAAATAGGTGAATTACAATTCAGTACTTGAAACTCGTAGATGCTTTTATATTAAATGTATACCGCCATACAAAGACAATAGTTCACCATGGCTTAGACACGGTTCTGGATGGTTTATTCTTATCCAGAACCGTTCCTTGGTTCCAATCCACGTTCTTGGATACGCGGAGACTATCCAGAACCGAGCCTGACCATAAGCCCATTCAGGCATAGACCTAGATCGGCACTGTTCTGGATATAATAGACTAATACATGCAATATAAGGAAGCTGACTCACTCTGGTCTAGTCACCGCCCGGTACCGGCTCAGCTGCCGGTAAAGTTGATACAGCCCAGCGGACAATAGAGAAACGAGAGACAACACAAATACACCTCTCCTCACGCAGATTTTAATAACTTTTCTTGTAGAAACCTTGACGAGGGCCTTATTACGTGTTACACAATACTCCAGACACGCGCCCAGACAGACGGACATAAGGACTACGTGTCTGAGACTGCTTAGCGGTAGACGCCTTTACTTTAGAAACCCTTATTCTTAGGAGAAGATATAGTTGTAAGTCCAGTATACGAAGATTGCAGTTCTACCCGTGGTTGCTTTAACCGGGATCACGTATACAACAGGTTTAAGGTAATGTGCAGTTTTGTCCGTATGGGTTGTTTGTTCGCCAGTTGTTTTTTGGTTTTAATATTTTTGTAAGTTGTCCGTCCTACATCAGACGTTTGGAAACCTTTTAATATATCAGTGTCTGTTGCACTTTTCTCGTTGCCCCTTAAAAATTTACTCATTTTGTAACTTGTATCTATATCTGTATAGGCGGTATTAACGCCCTTAACGTGTAAATATCGCTGTTTAGAATGTTACATCTAGACGGTTTCGTCATATGTATTGAATTGAATGATAAACAGTTCAACGAGATAAGGAATATAAACCCAGATGGAAGTTGTTACATGTTCCCGCCTTTTTTCTGGTGAGTCTCGCCGCTCAATATTCCAAACGTTTCTGATTTGTTCCAACGTTCTAATATAAGCTTTTTTAAAATTCTTTTTGAGCACAACAAAAGGCAACATAATCGAATGCGGCGCATTGAAACAAGTACACGTTGTTTTATGATTTTATGCTATATTCAAATCAATAGTATTTGTTCTAACCTGTCATTTTTTATACTTACTTATGTCAAAACATTACTAGTATATTATCCATCCATGTACGTTAGTGACCTTTATGCCGTTTTGAAAACATAACTTTCTCCACCCACGACTACTGACTTCATGTTAATGACATTGAAACTTGTTTTCTCTGCTCGCAGCTTTTGAAAACAAAATATTATGGAAAATTCGAGATGTTTGTAATACGGGTGTTGACGTTTGCCGGCTTTGTTGCTTTATTTACCGATAAACAGTGGATAATGTGACGGTTCGTACGTCAGTCGTTTCCGCGCGGTACGTCAACAATCGTACCTGTACGTCAGTTCACACCTGTGTTGGAACAGTCGTTCACCGGCCATGTGGGGTCCTGTATAGAACACCTGTGTTCCGGAAGGAACGGCCACTTTGCAAAAACAAAGTGGGATTTCCGGAGGGTCTTTTGTTAGGGAAGATCACACGCAAATCATACATGGTGGAATGGCCTGGCTTTTTCTGAAGTTTTTACATATTCCTCAGACAAGGATTATCCTTTAGATCTTAGAATAAAAAAGGGCCGCATTTTATTTAGTTTTTGATTGTTTTTATGTCTTTTTTCTGTCACTTTTGGGCAGGAATTCGCAAAAATGTATTGTTCATTAATTGTACACGAGTCCAGATCTTAAATGTCAGCCATGTGCAGCGGTAGGAAGGAAAAGGATGGTTTCTAAAAACAAACGATGAAATGATATTTCCGCGGACCTTTACTTTGAAAGATCACAAGCAAGAAGGGATACAGTGTACGTGCTTTGTTCTCGATTCTTTATGCGATTCCATAAATACTGTAGCGACAGTGGGTAGTTCTACACAACTCTGCCGTGCGGGTGCGCTAAGGTGATGGTCTTTATGATTCTCAGTCTTGTTCAGCTTTTTATCTATTCTAAACAAGTTTTCCTGGCTTTGCTTTTCTATCCGCTCTCTGCTATTTCGTTTCTAGTTAGATATTTTAAAATTCAGTTCCAGAGTAGCATCCGCCTAACGGGTTAGGGATAGTAGAATTCGGCAAAGTCGTTGGGTTATAATAACTGGCTCAGGATAGTTAGCCGTGGTAAGGCCTCTTTGGGTGGGCACCTAGGGTGGACAGCCTGTCCTAGCAAACTATTTTGGCTAAATCTATGTTTCAGCCAGCGAAGTTGGCCTAGTGGACACTAATTCCAGAGGAGAAAAACCACACAGATCACTTAATTAACAAATCCCCCTTTTTTCGGATTGTGCTTCCAACCTTCATCGACGTGTGCTTCCAATATTTTTGTTCCTGACTGCCAATATTACGGGTTTATTTTCAAAAGCAGTGCAGGTCCAAGGTTCTAGCCCAGTGAGTCGTGATATAGGCACAGTTTGTTGTTACATTCCAGAGGATATTGGAATTTGTTGGTTCGCGGGCTGAAATAGCAAGTCAATTTTCCGCTGCTTTCCGTGCCATGCGCGGCTACCACCTGCAAAGAGAATTCTGTCAGAAGTCCGCCAAAACGCACCTTCTTAGTTGGACACAAATTCGTTTTTCTTTACGGAAAACTGTATTTCTTTTTTCTCCAGGATTTTGGTTTAGGATCCAGAGCATGTACATACGCTAAGTTGAGGAGTGATGTTGTGGACTACACGGTTATTACTCTGCTGTGTTGTGGGTCTTGTTTCCTGCCACGCCGCCGCTGCACAAGGAGTCCTTCTCACCAAGAGCAGTGTGTACCCGAACCCCGACACTCTCCTGGAGGGAGAGAGCGTCTACTACGATGTTCGACTGTCTGCAACTCCAAGTTCAACGGCGAGAGTCACGTTCCTGGTGACGAACACCACGAGGGTAGCGGTGTCGGTGGCGGAGGTGGAGTTCACCGGGGCGGACTGGGACGTCGCTCGGCGGGTGGAGTTGGTAGCGCCCGAGGACGGGGCGGTGGAGGCGTCGGTGGGGACGGTTCCCGTGCAGGTGTGGTACCAGGAGGGGGGCAACGCCGCGACACTCGCCGCTACGCTACAGATAGAGCTACAGGACAACGATTATGGTAAGTTGAGCTGACTATACTTTTATTCCTTGTTACCCTGTATCTAACAGTTTCTCACTTGAGAAGTAGGAAAGACGCAAGGCATTTCAAAACTCTTACAGACGATACTAATGTCAAATATCTTTTACTTTTACTGGCGTTATGACAGAACGATACATTAATACATATATCGAGAAAGTCATGTTCTACCATATAAACAAACATAGATTACTGTGCGTAAAAAGGTATAAATGCATCCTGATTTTGAAAGTTTTCAAATGACTCCAAATCTAAAGTAAATTGTATTTTTTATGGCAAGTAGCTAGACAGAGTTTTCTCTATATGTGTTGTACACACCGTATGTTATAAAATGTTTCTGTAGTATCAACTGTTGTCGAGGTCTCTATCTGAACGCACCAGGTGTCAGAAGAAAACAGCAACACGAGTATGGCATCAAAACAGCATGAAATATTTTTCTTTCTCATCCTGTTGTTAATCGTCTTCATCAAAAGCATTTTAACCTTGATTTCATTGCCTTGATCCCATAGAATACGGGGCTAAAAATAGTTACATGGAGATAATTTTAGCCCAAAGAGGAAAGAAGATCCGTTACCGGTTCATTTAAGGCAAACGAGATACATTCTTGATCTTTGTTGCTTTTGTATCGGTGTGTTGCAGCTGTTTGCTATCATTATTGTGATTGTAACAGTATTACTGATAATACGGAACCCCCCACTTTGTTTTTCGCTTCGTAGCCGTTCATAGCTACAGGTGGTTAATTGTTTTGATCCGCCATCTGAAGCCCTGTGCTCCAAATACCATAAATGTATCTCAACATTAATGCGTTTGTTTGTCGCTTAGAATGACATTCCAAAATTGTAGTTTAGAGTTGATTTCATCTCATTTTTGTCCTCGATTTAAGGCAAACCGTTATGCATTCGCCGGGATATTCTAGTATATCAATAATTGCTAAAACTGCTTCGTTTCATTGTTTCAAACAGAACATTCCTGTAAAGTCCTCCCCGCGACCATTAGCATGGCCATGGTCGCATATAACGACACCCATCTCCGTTTCTATAGCCCATGGGCCACACAGTGCAATCACTACAGTTCACTGGTAGTGATGTGTGTTTAACTCCCATACTCCTTGTCAAATGCTGAGTGCTAAACAGAGAAAGCAGTATGTACCATTTTTAATTCTTTGGTATGACTCGGCCGGGGACCGAACTCACGACCTACCTAATGCAAGGCGAGCACTCTACCCACTTGGCAAGTTGTTTTTGTCCCGACAGTTGCAGGAGGTTGATGGATTTGATTCGGTATTAACGGACCGAACCTGATATCCACACAGACCTTGTGAGGAATATTACACAACCGGTAACAAACCCTGGTCATGCACGTCTTACGTCTCAAGGACTGCTGGCGTGTCTTAAAACAATCTTACTGTTTTGCTGAGTTTTCAAAATACCGGCAGGTGCACAGCTGTGTAAGGGACGTTTATGTATACATTTCTCAAACTTCACTGAACAGTATATTGTATATGTATACTTTTGATCAGTCGGTATGACACATCAACTAACATGTTTAGCTGTGGATGTGGATCAGATTTGTTCACGTATACTATTCCCTGTATTTCAATTCCATAGAACTTAACCACCATCATATGTATTTAACTTCTAAGAGCATGAAAGTACAATAAACATCTTTAATTTTTACCGTTCAGACCAGTACCTACGTCATGGTTCCATCAGCTGGACCCGCGACGTCACTTCCGGCCGGAGCGTGGCGGTGTTCCACATCAGCCTGTCCTACCACACGTCACTCCGGCCTGACGTCACTTCCGGCGACGTCATCGGTGTTCCGGTCACCCTGAACTTCAACGATGGCAGTCAGTCAACCGACGCCTTGGACGTTATGGTGATGGCTTCATTTTCTTCTGCTTTATTCTTTATTCGAACAATGGTCAGCATGGCAGCAGTACATACAAATTATGGACTGCTGAATTGTGCTGACCTTACATATACATGAAATACAATGTAGGCACAAACAAGACATACAGATTCACGACAATTTCTTTACAAATTAACGTTAGGACAGAAATAATGATTTGAAAGGAAAAAAATGTTTTTTTATGTGTGTGCAGACGACAAGTTGCTGTGAAATCTCAAATGCGTGGGTCAAATTTGCCCGGCGTCCCCCGTCTATACTCAGTTTTGGCTAAATGTGGATGAAAGTTAATCTTATCTAATAGTGAGACATTTGTGATCGCAAAATGTAAGACATTGCACACTGTTTTTTTTAATATATTTTCCTATTTCCTTACGAATCAAATAGAAAATTTGCCCTTATTATTCAGTTTTTATTGGCAGTTAGTAGAAATTCTTCTATCAGTTTTTATTGATTTTCAAACGTTATTTGTTCCAACCAGGTTGTTGAGGTGTCCAGTGAAGGGTACATCCTGACGTCAGCGGAAGTGACGCACGACTTCGGAGCCTCCTCCGCTGCATCATGGGAAGTGTCGTTGTCACAGTGTTGCCGTGGCAACGCACTGCTCAACAACAGAGGCACTACGTGAGTAGGGAGGGTCTTCCTTACGTTTTGTTTAATGCATGGACGTTGCATAGCCATCAGTCAACAACACATACAAATGTAACACTCACCTAACGTAGGTATGTACATGCTAAATGTTTTTGATACATGAAACTAATGTGTAGATAAATGAATGAATTAATATATATAGAGTGGCCCTATCACACCACAGTCGTCCCCCAGTAAGACATCTGGTGCCGCATAGTTTTCAACTTTTATTCGTCCAATCTATACTGAGTGAAGGAGCGAGGGGATGAATGAATGAATGAATGACTGAATCTGTATCTGTATCGATATATACAGCTGGAATGAAAAAGGAATAGATCTGAATAAATGCATTGCATAACTAAATGGATGGAAAATTGAATGGGAATACACGAACGAATGGATGAGTACACGAACAAACGAAATGAAGACAGTGAATCACTTCTCCATGATTTGCCAGCATGACGCTCCAGACGACTGTTGACCTGACAGCGGGTTCGGGACCACACCTGGCGACGTTACCTGTCGTACACTGGTACAAAGGGCACACCGCCGAGTTCTACTTCCCTGCCACGTCTGCGTCAGGTAAGGGACGTTACCTTTTACTGTACATGGGTAAACCTGCACGAAGTATGAAGTATAAGACGGTAAATAAGATATATAAAGCTTATTCCTGAAGGCTAATTGCAAACGGACACGGACAAAAGAACATTGCAATTGAAACAGAGAACAAAGTACAAGAAAACATTTTTTTTACCATAGCACCGCGTCCAAAATATATTCCTGACCATGAAACCAGTTTTGAAGACAAAACAACCCACACATTATAGAAGACGTGGGCAGTTCGTCTTCCACTGCCTCAAAAGAAGAAGTCTAACGTAACAAAAGTAGCCCAATGTATATTTTAGAATGTGGTACATGTATTTGTATTGTATTTTTTTTTAATTCGCCATCACTATCTCCATGTTACGTGTACTTGCTATTGGCCTTATGGCACGCATGTGCGATTAACGTATGATAATTTGCTAATGTAAAAGTCAAATGTGTCTGCTGTTCCCAGGAACACCCGTGGTTTTCGGCCTGGCCTCCTCAGCGGAGTACGGCTCGGGCCAGGCAGGCCCGCCCCCCGGGCTGCAGCTGGACGCCGCGGCGGGCAGGGTNACGTGGGACGCCGCCGGGCTGCCCAGCGGGCTCTGGTCCGCTCTGGTGGTGATACAGGACGCCGTCACGGGAGTTAAGGTACTTGACACAATAATATTGATATAGCCTATATCACTGTGGCCCAATTTTCACCCTTCTGATAATGATTGCGTTTGGGGAGAGCCACACATCAAACACGTTAAAGAACCCTGGTCCCATCGCACTTCAGAGTATGCTCTATAGTACAGAACGGCTCAAACATATCAGCTCCTAAACGCAGCCTATATATATATATTTATGCTGAATAAATCACACCGAACGACCTACCACACCTAACATTTTGTATAAGGTACCCGTTGATCAAATTGTACTTGATAAGAATGAGATATACTCAGCATTTCCGTTGAAGAAGTGAAGCGTCCTGAAATAATTTATCATCCAATAGTGCAGTTGAATATTACCTATGAGTATTATGTACCTGGATGTCTAATTTTCACCGACGTAATGGGATATACTCTTCGATAGTTAAAGGGCAAGATTAACTAACCTTCATCAACGCAAGATTATCTAATATTCCACTAATTCTCGTATCTCTGACCCACCCCAGGCGATGCAAGAGCTGATCCTCCACCTGCATGACAGCACCCCGGACTTCCACCCACCCACCGTCCAGCCGTTCTCCGCCGTGCTTGGCGCCGTGCGTTACGTCAGCGTCAGCGGGACGTTCTCCCAGAGCGTCACCGTCACGGACCGGGACAGCGGGAACACACTGAGCATGCGCGGGACGGCGGGACTACCGGACGGCTGGAGTCTGACGGAAACGTCCGCTGTGGACTCGGGAACTTCCGTTACAGGTTCGGGAATTACCATTATCGGTTCGGGAATTTTCGTTACAGGTTCGGAAATTTCCGTTACAGATTCGGGAATTTCCGTTACAGATTCGGGAACTTCGTTTCTTCACTTCGCCCAGGTGTAAAATAAATACCTGACTTAAAGTAAAATGCAGTGGATCTTATGCCGTGTCCTAGACACAGTGGATTAAAGTTTGAGTGAGGATGAACTTTCATTCTAAGCATCTTATGAATTCCAGAAAGAACAAACTGAAGCATCCTGTGTTCATATCACGAAGTTAATGTCGTTTATTTTTCCTGTTCAGCCGTGTATGATCTCCAGTGGACTCCCAGCACTGATGACGTAGGTACTCACGTGATCTGTCTGGAGGCAGAGGACAGTGCCGCGCTCACGTCTGTTCCACAATGTCTGCAGATCGTGGTCTCGTCTGGTACACCCAGTCAGGTACATCTTTGTTTGTTTATGTTTGTATGGTTGCAGTATTACGACCAACTACTCTTACTAATATATAGTAAAACCTAGTATGCTAGCATTGACATTAATATGTAGCAAAGGATGTCTTGCTGACTTCAGTTGACATCAATACGACTTGATTGCCAAGTTCACGCCAGGCTTAAGGTTGGATTCGTTCTATAGCTTAAGTACGTGATTGGTTGATGGAGGTATATTAAAGCAATTTGATTGCAGATCCCTAGGTATCAACTAACAAGTACATGTTAACGCTGGTTATACCTAGAAAAAGATTACATGTACCGGGCTTGGATTTTATATAAACATCCTTCTAGAATAAGCTCTCAAAATTGAAGATTTCAAAATTTCATGTGCTCATGTTTGTCCAGATCTCCCTGTCGGCAGCCAACACCACACTGAACCTAACAGACAGCAGTGCACAGTCCGTCTCCCTGGAAACCATCGGTTTCGGTATAACAACATCCTCGTCCGTACAGTCCATGACAGTCAGCCTGCTGTATGCCTCAGACACCGGGCAGGAAAGGCTAACATATTCCAGCCAATCATCTTCGTCAGTAAGTGTTTCATATTACTCAGACACCACTGTGATATACGTGACTGGCATAGGGCAGAGTACAGCCTACGAAACCGTTCTGAACGGAATCAGCTACACCAACAGCGCGGCAAGTCCAACAGAGGGAACCCGCATGGTTACCGTGCGAGCGTGTACCGATGACAGGTGCGCCTTCCATCGGGTGTACGTCGCCGTTATGCCCGAAGGTTCTCCTCCAAGCGTATCGGTCGGTTTGTCTGGGGCCGGATCGTGCCCGGTAACGTTTGATACTGAGGTCGGGCCTGCGAATATCGTTGCAAGCGCGGCTATAACAAACGGCGGCGGGTTGATATCAGGAATGAGCCTCACCCTCCACAACGCGACCGACGGGACTGCCGAATCCCTGGCTGTCTCGTACACCCCCACGGAGCAGCTCCCTCTGCCGATCGTCGCCGAATCTGCAGAACTGAACACGCCTGTAGGCGCGGACGGTGTACAGACGGTGTCCCACGCCCTGTCAGTGAGCCAGAGCAACCAAACTGTTGGACAAGTCGTCGTCATTGTGGACGTAAAACACTCGTGGATCGGAGACTTGAAGTTGGAACTAGAGCATGACGGAGTGACCGAAACTCTCGCCCTGCGTCCGGGCGGCTACGCCTGTTCACAGTATCACCTCTCCCCAGCGGTTTTCCTCGGTATTGCAGGGTATGCAGACATCGACTCCACGGACGGGGAGATCCCCAGCCTCTCTAAGTCCGGATCCGAGCCCGGAGTCTGCCGGTACGAGTCGCATGGTTCCTTCAAACCGGACGGAGACTTTTCCGCGTTCGTCGGAACGGGTGCAGGCGGGGACTGGACGCTCCACGTCACCGATCTGGTCTCGGAAAGCGGCGACGGTCGACTCGTCCGATGGGCGCTGGTCATCCTCCAGGAATCAGATAGTACGGAAGCGCTGGATGGCCTACTGCCGTCTTTGGCGGCGGGCCTCGACCAATCAACATCGTCGATACAGAATGAGATCCTGATGGAACAAGGAGGCCGCGTGAGGGAAGTGTCTGTGGCGGTACAGATGGTTGTAAGTCCCGTCAATGGGTCAGACGTCACCCCGGCCCTCCTTCTTTACCATCCTGACGGCACTGAGGTAGTTCTGATGCAGGAAACCGCCGGCTGTAGCCTGAGTTCCCTTGCCTATTTCGTCTTCCACGACAGCGGCACGCCCCCTACCGACATCTGCGCGAACCGCAGCAGCGCCCTGACCAGTGTCCTGAAACCGTCCTCGTCCCTCGCGGCTTTGGCGGGAAAAGCGGTGAACGGAGCATGGCGATTGGTCGTTGACGCTGGTGATGTCACCGTTGCCGTGGAGATGTTCTCGTGGTCGTTACGCGTCGCAGCCGAGCCGAACGTCGATTGGTAAGTCAAATACAACCCTTCCTCACACAAGCAGCGATACTTTATCTATCACATCAAGATCCCATATTTATCCACCTAGCTAGGCCAGTACATACGTAATGCCATGCAAAACATTCACTATTTTTAGATAGTGACAGTTTCCCTAACCATATCTGGTTGCTTGAGTTACTGTTTTTTTGGCGTATTCTTAGGTAAGACTTTACACAAATTTTAGGCCGTAAGGTAGCTTAGACTTATGCAGTAAAATGTTCATACAAGTTCCAGCTGCACTGTGATTTGGTATACAAACATGTCTTGGAATAACACGTTGTGGAATACAACAATCCTTCCTTGATAGGTCGTACGATGCGGCAGCCAGTCAGTTGACGGTTACGGGCGCGGATACGGCAGAGCGGTACGCAGACGTTCTAAACGCCGTGACATACGGCAACTCCGACCCGTCTCCCGACTCCACCGCCGTCAGATACGTCACGGTCGACGTCACCGGCGCGGACGGTCTGCGGGGCAGTGACGTCACGTGTCTGGAGGTCAGACACAGGCCGGTGGTTGACCTGAACGGGGCTGACCCCGGGACTGACCTGACCGTGACCTACACGGAAGATGGCGGTCCGGTGTCCATTGTGAGAGAGGACGCGACCTTGGCGGCTTCCGACAGCAGCAGCGACATTAGCTACGTCATAGCGGAGATCACCAATCCGGTGGGTGGGATACAGGAAGTAGTAATTACATCCATTGTAATTTCAGTGTACTTTCCAAGCAGAGGTTTATTTGGGGTTAGGCTTATTTTTGGCATGTTCTTAGGCTTTTTTTGTCGAGATTTCTTTTTTGCACTCATGGTATCTTTGTGTTAACGTAAAAGAATGTACCAGTGCAAAAATGGTCGGCCCATAAAAAAAAACCTGTCACATGCCCAAAATAACCCTAAACTCAAACCTTTGCTTGGAGAGTAATTTCAGGGCTGCAAAATTGGATGTTTAAAGTCAATTTTCTGGTGTGTAATTCTTTTTAATGTAATGCAAAATTATACCATAGTGATATCTGTGAAGCAAAAACGTTTTGTTCTGTGTTAGGCTGATGGAGATCTGGAGGTTCTGCGTGTACAGAACATCACGACGGTAGAACACGTGACCGTGCTGGGGCAGACCGTGAGTGTTGACGTCATCATCGCTCCCGTGGTGCACTTCACATCCGGGCAACTCAACATCTCAGGACTCAGCTCCACAAACGAATATCTACAGGTGACAGTGACATTTTGTTTTTAAATCTTGGATTTGGATTTCATTTCAAAGATGATACAAAATATAGACTTGAATAAAGGTTGAAAAAATGAGTTATTGATCTATGATCAAGTGTGGTTCTAAAGAATTGTTGTCAAAATGTGTGGTCTAAATGTATTATGCTTTATCTTGAATAAAGAATATCACTTTAAGATTCACGTGATCAAAATCAAATTGCAAATAGAGCCATGAAAACGATGGAATAAAAAAGGTACTAGTTGTGTTGTGCTGTCCGCTATCTTTCATATATCGAAGAAAAAAAAAACTAACGGCAGTTTTTTCCGCCAGGTTCTTCTGACCTTGACTTACAACAACGAAGCCGAGGAGCCTGCTACGTCACGCCGCGTCATCCACGTCACGGCCAATGACGGGGCCCGGGAGAGTGACGTCACCACCGTCACCGTCACGGTCACACGCGTGAACGACGCGCCACACTTCAACACCAACCCGCTGCCTTCTCTCTCCACACAGGAAGACGCCAATAAGTTCACGCAGGTTCCCATAACCGTGCTGCAGTTCATAGGTATAGGTAATACCTTATACCCGCGTGGGGTGAAGTTTTTTTACCTTTTCTGGTTGGTAAGAGACCTTTGTGTTTTTTTGACACGATCTATTACAACGGTGAAATCTTGGGCAACCGTGGATAGAACACTGACCATCAAGAACGAATGGAAGCGGCAGATGCAGATCGTATCTTCGTATCTTCTGGGTACATCTTGCTGACCAACGTCTGTAGGACATCGCGTAACTCAAGATTTGAACTGTCTCCAAACATCGAACCTCACAACCACTACCCCAGCTACGTGTTGGTCGACTTGATAAAGGGAAACGCCTCAAATGGTGTATTGAGGTTTCCGAGAGATTTCATGTCGTGGTAGATCGTACAACAAAAAAGTGCAAAGATGTTACATAGGCCTTTAGTGAAGTCTTATTGGCTAACTCCGCTGGCATATCGCTTCTTTGCGCATGAGTATTTACTTCTACCTTCGCCTCTTTCTCGCTGGCACATAACACTTAGACACAAGATCTGAATGGCATTTTTAAACCTTTTACTTTCATTGTCGTGTGTGTATTTGTTAGTGTATGTGCGTGTGTGTATGAGAGTGCTTTTGGTGGTTTGTCGTGTGTGTTGTGTGTGCATGCATGTGTGCTTGTGGTGTTGATGCGTGTGCATAACCGCTTATGTGCTTATGCTTACTTTTCCGATACAACAAGTGTCAAAAACTTTGATACTTCTCATGCTATAAAAGAAAAACTGATCCCAGTTTGTTGTTTTAGGGTTTGACTCGATCATCAGTGATAACGACGCGGGTGCGACTCAGGGCATCGCCATCATCGGAGCCGACAACACCAACGGGCAGTGGGACTACCTGGCCTGGCCCGGCGCTTACACAGGTACGGGGACAAATACTGTGCTTTTGGCCCCTTCTTCACTAGAATGGGATCACTGTGTGACTAAAATTGGACCTTTATGGTGATGTCCTTGGTACTGAAAACTTTCCACTGCCTATTGTTCTGATTACAGAAAATGCTGACGACGTGTGACAGCCAGGTGGTACTGTGTACAGGTACAGCACGCTGTCTGCGCTGTCTGTTTTACTGATGGTTTTCCTATAAGTATTGATACTGTCCTTGGTGCTGAAAGCTAACTCCGGGTTGTTGTTATTATTGCAGAGATTGCTGACGGCATGAGACAGCCGGACGGTACAGCGTATCAGAAAAGCATGCTGTCGGTGCTGTCTGTTTTACTGTGGGTTACCCTTATGCTGATGTCCTTGGTACTGAAAGCTAGCCACTAGCCATTGTTCTTATTACAGGGATTGCTGACGACGTGAGGCAGCAAGATGGTACTGTGTACAGCTACAGGAACAGCACGCTGTTTCACTGATGGTCGTACTATTGATACTGTCCTTGGTGCTGAAAGCTAACTCCGGGTTGTTGTTGTTATTGCAGAGATTGCTGACGGCGTGAGACAGCCGGACGGCACAGCGTATCAGAAAAGCTTGCTGTCTGTTTCACTGTGGGTTGTCCTATTGATGCTGTCCTTGGTACTGAAATATAACTCCCGGTTGTTGTGATTACAGAAATTGCTGACGGCGTGAGACAGCCGGACGGTACTGTGTACAGGAACAGCACGCTGTCTGCACTGTCTGTTTTACTGATGGTTGTGCTATTGATGCTGTCCTTGGTACTGAAAGCCTGTTCTGATTACAGAAATTGCTGACGGCGGGAGACAGCCGGACGGTACCGTGTACAGGAACAGCACGCTGTCTGCGCTGTCCGTTGTGCTGAAGGCGGAGTACTTCAACTTCCTCCGCTTCATCCCAGACCCGAACTTCAGCGGCGAATCCACCATCAGCTTCGTGGCGTGGGATCTCTCAGGTTGATCTGTTTATGCTTTTAGATAGATAATCACAATTATTCACTGTATGGCATGGTATGGCAAATGTTTTGTTATATGCCCAAATGTCATAATTGAGTAATTGTGAAAATGCCAGTGTTGTATTGTAATAAAGAAAATAACAATTAAGAATTTAAACGTCCCCTCCACCCCCAGGTTCCACGTCTACCCTCTCCAACGGTGACTTTGTGAACGCCACCTACACGGGCAATACAGGACCGTTCAGGTAAGGAAGCACAAACGTTACAAAATTTAAACTGTTGCAGGCTGTTAAGAAAAAAAGTGTCTGTACTGTTTACCGCATAAAGTGACAGTAGATGATTGCCAATTGCAAAAATCAATCACGAATTTACCAGAAAGCCACGTACATGTCTAGTAGTAACTGTCATGGGGGAGGCTGAAACACGGACTGAAATTCTATTACAGTGAGGAGCATGTGACCGTGACTTTGACCGTACAGCCGTCCAATGACGCGCCGACCGCCGACACGTCACAAGTGGTGACCTTTAACCCCATCGATGAGGACGTCACTGATCCTGCGGGTGATGACATCACCGTCCTGGTGTCCAACTGTGATGACGTGGACCTCACCTGGCCCGGCACGCAGCAGAACATCGGCATCGCTGTTACTGGTTAGTACTTGTAGTTCCCACACTCGCTTAATGAACATTTTCCCTAATGTTCAAGCAGATCCTATATGGGGCAATGGGAGTCTATATTGGCCGCCTGTAGCCATTGGCCTCCTGTAACTATTGGCGTTTGGAGATTACATTTTCCCTAGCTTACTCACTTGTGTGCTCATTTTCTTCCTCGCTGTTTTACTAATTCTCTCATTCATTTCTTATTAATTTGCTTGATGGATCGATTGATGGATTGGTTTATTGATCGACTGATTGACTTGTTGACGTCCCACCAGGCGTTGATAGCTCTCACGGCGTGTGGGAGTACAGCACAGATAACGGGACCAGCTGGTCGGGCCTGGGAGCGGTGTCGTCCAGCTCGGCGGTGCTGCTGGGAGAGGACGGGGACACTGGGCGGTACCGGCTCCGCTTCCGGCCCGACCCGGACTTCTCCGGGACCGCCTTCCTGTACTACCGCGCCTGGGACTTCACCGCGGGGTCTGCGGGCGACACTGGGGTAAGCGTGTCTTAGTTTGCAGGTCATTTATTATTGCAAGAAGATGAAATTGATATTGGTGAGATAAAAGTTTGTGAAGCCCTAAGATCTCTTAAGTATACGTTTTTAACAATCAAAGTAGGCAAAGTAAGAGGCACATGCTATTGGGTGTCTTGTAGAATAACATACAGGTATTAAATATTCTGAATCTATCTTAAATGTTTCTTAACTGTGTACGCACTAGATGTACAGTGCAAATTTGGTGCGTGGATCCTTCCCACATTAAATGTTAAATGCCATACTAACGTAATCACTTCTCTTTATTGCCAGGTAACAGCCACCTATACAAGCCCCACTGGTGCTTTCAGCCAATCAGAAGCCATCGCCTCCATCACGGTCCAACCGTCCAATGACTCCCCATTGGTCACTGGTGGTGTTACCATGGTGACCATCGCAGAAGACGTGACGTCAGACAACAACCTCGGCACGTTCGTGTCGGCCATGTTGTCCGGACACTACACGGACAGGGACACCGGAAATGACGCGGGCGTTGCCGTGGTTACGGTGGACGAGACCTACGGTGACTGGCAGTACACGTGCGACACCGGCCTTCCTTACGATTGGCTGGATTTTGTGGGCGGGTATCACCTTGGTTACGTGGTTCCCCCGCTTCCAACGCTGACCAGCGCGACTTTGCTGAAGTCCACATGTCGTGTTCGGTTTCTACCGCAGCCAAACATGAACGCCGAAAACATGGCGTCCGCGCCTTACTTTACAATCCTCGGTTGGGACAACACGGAGACCGGGCTGACGACGGCGTCGAGCTACGGCGTGGACGTATCAGGTTACGCCGACAGCGATCAGAACGAGTTCGGCTCGGACCTGATTAACGTGACGATCCACGTCACCGCCGTGAACGACCCACCTGAGTTACAACTAGCAGGCAGCGCTGTGGACGTAGTGTTTGCAGAACATGGTGATCCAGTCGCACTGGTAGGAGACGGCTACAGCCTGACCGACGTGGATGACGACAGTCTTGTTCGCGCTACCGTCAGCATAGATGGACAAGCTTTAAACAACTGCTCTGAGTCATCAGCGTCTGTTGAAGAAGTTACCGTCAACCTAGACGGCACTAACCTCACGAAAAACATTCTATCCGTGTGCCCGTTTCAGATGACGATCACTCCTAACGATTCTATCGCTGATTCGGGTACTCTGGAGGAGTTCAGAGCGGCTCTCAGCACCCTTTCCTACGCGAACTCCTACACCAACCCGGACCTGCTCAGTCGGACCGTCAGCGTCACCGTGTTTGACGGAAGTGACGTCAGCGACACCGTGAGCGCTCACGTGACCATCGCAGTGACCAATGACGCGCCAATGCTAAACAACGTCACCAGATTCGAACCTATCGCAGAAGACGTACAAGACAGTGACAACAACGGAACGACCGTGTTGACACTAGTCGAAGACATCTACACAGACAGTGACGTAAACCATGACGTAGGGATTGCTGTGGTGGGGGCGGACACCCGATACGGGGCGTGGCAGTGGTGCTGCCAATGCGAGAACGCCACGTGGCAGGACCTGATTGGTGGGATGTACTACGGGTACGTCGTTCCGCCCGACCCGCTGCCGGAAAAGGCGACACTCCTCTCAGCCAGCTGCAGAATCCGGTTCCTTCCCGATGCCGACTTTAACACGGAGTTGGATGCGCAAGGCTCCCCACGCGATGTCGGTGACCGCCCGTATGTGACACTCAAAGCCTGGGACAACACGGGCGATACGGCAGGCATGGTTGGGCAGTTTGGGGTCGATACCACCGCATGTTCCAACCTTTACACATGCGAGTTCAGCGTGCAAGCCGTCAACGCTACGATAGAAGTACTGTCTGTTAATGACCCTCCAGAAATCGCAGTCCCTTCGGGATATTCGTTAGACTTTGTAGAAGACGGGAACCCAATCTCTTTGCTTCTTGACAGCTTTGATGTCTTAGACAGAGACGGAGTGGATCTTAACAAAGTCACAATTTCCTTGCAGAACTCAGCTGGCGACGAGGGGTTTCTTCTCAATGCAACGAGTGTGGAAAACGTGACAATAAGTAACAGTGACGACTTTGCTACAGTATCAGGAGCAAACATAGAACAGATCGCCTTCAATGGAACAAGTCAAATGACACTCCAAGCACCTGCCAACCAATCAGCAGTCAGTATTGAGGCCTACGTCACCCTGCTACGTTCCGCCATGTACTACAACAACCAGCCTGAGCCGGACAACTTCACTCGCCAGGTCCGCATCTGCGCAGACGACGGACAGGACACGACTTGTGAGAGCTTCAGCATCTCCGTCCATCTTGTTGGAGACAACGCGCCCGTTCTTAGCATCGGCTCCTTCAACTTCACCTTCCTTGAAGACGGTGACGACGTGTTCGTGGTGGACCCGGAGAATCTCACCCTGTCTGACGCCGACAACAATCAGTACTTCTTCATGGCTGAGGCGGTCGTGACGGTCCAGTCGTTGTCACCAGACTTAGAGACACTCTCAGTCGACACCGCCAACACCTCGTTGACTTCTGACTTTGATGCTGCGAGCGGTACTCTCACCCTAACGGGCCAGGCTAGCGCGCAGACCTACCAAGAGGTTTTACGTACTGTTACGTACAAGCACAGCGGCTCTGAACCGCAGCCGGGCCCGAGAACTCTCACGTACTACGTCACCGACACGGAGGGGCTTCAGAGTCACGTCGTAGTCGCGAGTGTCGAGGTGGAAGTTATAAACGACTGTACGCCAGTGTTGGAAGTCAGCGGGTCGTTTTTATTCACAGAAGGTCAGGACTTACCGACCACTATTGGGCAAAATGTTTCCCTTTCTGACTGCGACAGTGGCAGCTTTCCGATGGAGTCGGCTGTGGTTTGGATCGACCCTGCTTATGATGCGGGCTCGGAATCATTGTCTGTGACGTCTACAGAGGGTATAATGTTTACGTATCTTCCAGATGACGGTACCTTGCGTCTTAACGGCCCAGCTTCTTTAAGTGCCTTTCAGTCCGCCCTGGAGACTCTTGTCTATGCAAACAGCGCGGAAGAGCCCACCCCTACAACCAGACACGTGTACATGTACGTATCGGACGGTTTGCACAACAGCACCGTCGTCAGCGTCACGGTCAACATCAGTCTGGTCAACGACCCGCCGGTCATCGACCTCAACGGCGACGTCACGGCCGGAGCTGACGTCATCGTCGTGTACACGGAAGGAAGTGGCGACATGGCCGTGGCAAACAGTTTAACCCTCACGGACAACGACAACAGTCTTCTGGCTTACGCTAACATCACGCTGGTAAACAATCCCGACTATGGGTATGAAACAGTCAAAGTGGACACCCTGAGTACATCACTGACTGCTAGCTATGTGGATGCCAATCGTTCATCTATCATCCTGTCTGGTGAGGATACTGTGGAAAACTATGCCTCTGTACTTAGGACAGTGTCTTACACTAACCCGCACGGAGATCCAGACCCGCAACAACGCGTCGTGGAGTTTACTGTATCCGACGGCATCGCTGAATCTGTTAAAGGCACCGCTTATATCATCTTCGAGACGCAGAACGACGCACCGACCTTGTCATCCGTCTCCACTGTCGTGTCCTTCACAGAGGAGGGTCCGCCTGTTGCTGTGTCCCCGTCCGTTACAGTGTCCGATGTCGACAGCACAATTCTCGCGTATGCTACTGTAGCTATCACGAACCATATCGACTTGGGCTGGGAGATTCTGAACGTATCAACCTCAACAAGCCTGTTTTCCGACTTCAACGCGACTTCAGGCGTTTTGTACATCTCTGGGGTGGCGAGTGTAGAAGAGTATCATACTACTTTACAAACTGTGACCTATCAAAACACTAAAGACGAGCCGTCTACTGAAGCTAGGGTTCTCGCCTTCAGCTGTAGCGATGGCATAACGGAAAGCATTCCTCTAAACATCACAGTCAACATAACTGCCGTGAACGACCCTCCTTCTATCGTCCTTTCCAGCGGAAATTCTACATATTCCGGCTTATTTATCGAAGACTTTCTTGCGTCTCCAATTGTCGAGTCTAATGTGACGGTGTCAGACGAAGACAGCCCTTTCCTTTCCGAAATTTTCATTAACGTTAGTAACGTGGCAGAAGAGGGATTCGAAGGAGTGTTCCTAGACTTGTCGTACTTGTCTGATAACGAGCCATTTGACCAGACGCAGTACAGCCAGATTCTTCAGTACAACTCAACCCTGTGCATAGCAGATTCCGTACACCCCTCCATACAGCTACAGGGCGCTTACACGCCAGCACAAGCCAAGGAGCTCCTCCTAGTGGCCAGATACTGTACTGCACACGACAACCCCACCGAAGGCGAGCGAGTCATCACCATCACCATAACCGACGACCAGGACGAACCCAGCACCATAGTCACTGCCGCTGTAATGGTAAGACGCGTTAACGACCCTCCGCGTCCAATCAGCGAACCCTTAACAACTTCCTTCACGACTCTTGAAGACAACGTCTTAACAATCACCGCCTTTAGTCTCTTCTACGACCCCGAAGAAAACTTGACGACGTCTTCGGTGAACGTGATGTCTTACCCCACCAGCGGGGACCTGACTGTTACCAGTGAAGGGGATCTACAATACACTCCCGCCTTACATGACTTTGGTCTGTACAGTCTAGACTACCGAGTATGTGACTCAGATAACGCGTGCACTGAGACATTTACTCTAACCATCGACGTCGTGTCAGTGAACGATCCGCCCGAACCCGTCTTGCCCCTGACCATCACCACTTCAGAGGACACGCCCGTGTCTACAGACTTAAAGACGTTCGTCCAAGACGTTGAAGACGACGCGAGCGGAGATACGAACTACCCAAGCATCACAATAACCGATCTTCCAACTACTGGACATGCGGAGTTTTCCTCAGACTATAGAGTTATGAACTTTACTCCCGCTGCAAACTTTTACGGCGCGGAGCAAGTCGGAGTGCGTTTCTGTGACAGCGACGGAGCCTGTATAGACAACACCATCACTGTGACAGTAACGACTGTTAACGATCCACCAAACCTGACTGTAAGCAACGGGAACGAACAGGCAAACCCGATACAAACCAGGGAGGACGTTTCTGTAACGGTGGCGATTGTTGTATCTGACGTAGAACAGCGCACGCCGTTTAGTATCATCACGAACGACACAGCGCACGGGACAGCGGTACACAACGCGACCGCACAGGTACAGACCCTTACGGAAGACACCGACAACACATTCAACACTCTGTACACGGTTTCAACTCATATAACCTACTCTCCTAACACGGATTATGTCGGGGAAGACCGTGTGGTGTTCTACGCATGTGACACGGATGGGGCATGTGCGCAGGGTACCATTCATATTCAGGTAGGAATAATGCTCAACATTGCAATAAAGTTCATTATTATATCATGTAATATGTACACATGGTTTCAAATGAAACATGTTTTTGGTGAAATTCTTAATAAAAATTGAGGACATAAGAAGCAATAACAACCAATCGAAACAAAATGTGTGATTCGGCCTGTGGTAGTGATCTACCTTTGTTATTGAACATTATTATCAGCCTCCGGGCACGAATTTGCAATAAACTTCTCAATTATTGTATATCCAGGTTTCCTCAGAAAACGACCCACCAGAAGTCGGCTCCACCACAGTCCATACCGAGGAGGACACGCCCCTGGTCATCAGGCTCCCGGACGGGCTGAACATCACCGACGCGGAGGACGCGCTGGACTCGTCTGACGTCGACGTCACGCGTAACGTCACGCTGGGAGTTCTGACGTACGACGCTGACGGCGACCTGGTTTACACGCCGCCTGCACACTTCTACAGCACTAATCCTGATGACGTCACGTTCGAGATCCGTGTGTGTGACCGGGCTGCAGAGCAGCTATGTACAGAGGTAAGTTAGTGACCTGAACCAGACCGTCTCTCAGCATGGTAACTGGTGTTGGGTTACATCATGTTGCAATTTTACGGTAGGAGGGATTTTGACTCCTGTCACTATATATTTGAATGTGTTTGTTAATGAGTAAGAAATAACAGAGCAGACCAAATGCGAACTTTAAGGTAAAAATTATGCATTTGCTTTGCACATGTTACCTTTCTAGTTATATTTCGTGTTTCCCCTTCAGGCACAGATCCGGATCACAGTCATCTCGGTGAACGACGCTCCAGTCGCCCCGCCGCAGTACGTGGAGCTGTACGAGGACACGAGGCTGACCGTGGACCTGGGCGCCGTGCTGACCGACACGGAGGACGCTAACGGCACGGTCGCCGCCGTGAGCCTGATGGCGCCGCTCCCTAGCCTGGTCACCGCCGAGTACGACAACCACACCGGAGTGGTCAGCATCGTGGCGGGAACGGACAGGCACGGGAAGGACCTCATACACTACCAGGTGTGGACTACACACACACACACACACACACACACACACACACACACACACACACACTAATCATTCATTATTTGATTTGGATTCAGTATCTTTACTCTGACAATTTAGTCACACTGTTATAACAATGGTCTATAGCTCTGATAAGGAGCTTTGCAAACTTTACTTTTCAGCTTTCTTTCCACAGATTTTTAAACTTAAATTTATCAATCACTGATTCATTCATTCATTCCTCAGGCCTGTGACTCATCCGGGCTCTGCAACCTGGACGGCATGATCATCGTCACCATCCTGGAGGTCAACGACCCGCCGGTCGTCAACCCCTTCACCTTCCACGCCTCTGAAGACGTCACGAGCGTCATCAGCGTCTCCGACCACTACAGCGACCTGGAGACCGGCGAGCTGTCCTCCCTAACGCTGCGGCTGGTCAACCCCGCGTCCGGGGCCTACACAACGGAAGGGACGTCAGAGAGAGGTTTGCTTGTTCATTATTTGGAATTGCCTCTGGTGATGGAAACTTGTATAGTCACCTTATATGATACAAAATCGTATACTAATCTTCCTTTAGTCCTTCTTTACAGTTCAATAAACATGTTACATTAAATCATGTTACACTTTATAAGATAAAAGTATGTACATTTAATGCTAATATACATAACTAGAAGTTTGGCTGTTTCGGAGACGCTCAGGTACACGCGTGTCGGTTTCAGCTGGTGTTGTAACCACCATGATTCAAGACACATTATTATGCTTGTGTCTTTGTCTTAATGACACAATGCCTTAAGTTGTGTTTGTGCTGGCCCGTGTGATGTGAATGGTTGTGATATGTGTTTTAATGTTTCCAGGCGGGGAGCTGGAGGCGATCAGCAGTGCGGGATTGGTACAGTACAAGCCGTTGCCTGGTTACCTCGGTGACGACAGTTTCGCGTTTGTCGTCTGCGATCCGTGCGACCAACGGGAGGCCCGTCTGACCGGAGGGTATGTGGAGGGGATCCCCAGCTGTCAGAGGCAGCTGGAGATGAACCAAGGGGACGAATATGGCGCTAACGGCACCCACATCGCCTGCTCGGTATCCATGGTAACGATATACGTCATGAACACAAACGATGCCCCGGATGTGTCCGCGTTCCACGTCGTCACCAGCAGGTATGAGGTAGCGACCATAAACCCCATACACACCCTCACGTCTGGCGAGTATACCACAGCGGATATGTCTATATTTGACCCTGATGACGTACAAGCCCAGGAACTGTTAAACAACGGAAAGAACTTGACCTTCTACCAAATGATAGATACAACTGACTTAAACAGCACAACTCTAGCCGTAACTTCACAGCCTACGAAAGGTACGGCAACAGTTGACAAATCTACAGCCGTGCCCACCATAACGTTCACTCCAAGACAAAACGAGAGCGGCTACGACAGTTTCCTTTTCCAAGTTTGCGACAAAGACACTCAGTACAAGTCTTCCCAGTGTGGCGGCAACGTCGTAAGAGTCATGGTCACCGCGCCGAGTCCTTACATAGTCAACGTGACGGCTTTTCCGGGAACGGAGAACGACAACAACGTCCACTCCGACTCCAAATATTCATCCGGGGATTCTCTCCGAGTAGTTTTTAACGAAGACACCAACATGCCTCCGTTTGGCCGAACGGGTTCTACCATCGCAGCCAGCGATCTGCGCAAGATGTTCACTTTCAACACGAACCTGACATCAGCCAGAAACACCGAGGCTTTTACCGGTACGTGGATAACCCCGCGAGTGTTGGACATCACCGTTATAGACGAGGGATACCCGCAGCTCGAGCCGAAGATAGGAGAGTGGACGGTGAGCGTCAGCCCGGTTGCCCCGTGCGGCGGGTTTGATGAGACGCACGCGCCGTTGCCGGAGGACCGGTGGTCGCCGTACTGCCTGCTGAATGCCGTGAAGGATTCCGCTCACTCTAACAGCACTTCTCCTCCGCTGGGTGGGAACTGGGGCCTCCGGATACCCTCTCTCACAAGTATGTTGTTTTCCTTTTCACTTTGCCCATAATTACTAACTGTAGGTATTCATGTACGGTGTTTTCTGTCATTGTTTTCCTTACTGCTTCTGTCAGAAATATGACATTTCTCTTCTTGTTTTCCCCTTTGCCTCTGCCACAAGTATGGCGTTAACGTTTCTGTTGTTGTTTTCCTTACTGTTCTGTCACAAGTATGGCATTTCTGTTGTTGTTGTATTGCTTTTGTCACAAATGTGGCATCCCCCCATTGTTGTTTTCCTTTATACTGGTAATTGCTGTTAGGATGTTAGGATAAGACACTACTACTGTGATCCGATTCAGGGTAAGGGCTAAGGTCTGTGTGAGATAATGACGTTTATTTCCATCTCCTCAGCTATCGTAGTGAGGAATGACCTGGTGGATGTCTCCGTGTTGCGTGACCAGCCCGCGTACTTTGGACAGGGCTCCCAGCTGGTCCTGAGTCTCCAGCCCGCCCTGTCCCACCTACAACTACAGCTGTTCTGTCAGCAGAACCCGCAGAACATCATTTCCATGGAAACGTTCGGCCCCGGAACCAGCATGGTCAAGGTAGGCTACGGTATCATTCTTAGTCACTGGTGAAAGATGGCGGGTATCTGTGATGTCTGAGTATAACCTGTTGCTTTATTCATTTTGTACTATGTAGGCAGGGAGGTTAGTTTCTTTTTATCTCTGGTTAGAAGATGAAATATTTTCTTATGACATACATAGTCAAAGGAAAGTTTGTATGAATTCTCTGTTTCTTTGTCATTTGTTCTCTAGTTTTTAAAAATTTTGTTTGGTTGGGTGTTGCTGTAGAGGGAAAAGCAGCAAAACCGTTCTTGTTTTTGGTATGATTTGATTGATTGATTTGATTTGATGTATTGAAATTACAACAGTGCAATACACGCGGAACAGAGGCAGCTGTTGCTGGTGTTGTGTACCGCACATAGAAACGAATACTGGACAAACAATACTCATGTTCACTTGAGTCTTTTGGTAACCAACTATCTCGAAGGTAAACGAATGATATAGTTAACATAAGAAAAACACTAGAAAGGTGACATTTGCAAGCAAATACATGAATGTTGAACACCACATTTAGCCTAACATATAAGACTTTTGACCACCTGTTTATATGCACTAGCTTCAAAGTGCTTATCATATATTATCAGTATATGCTTTTCGGTATATTATCAGTATATGCTTAGCGAAGGCAGACATCATAACACATGAGTAATCTGCATCTTGTTCCTCCCACCAGACGAGCTGTGTGAACCGTGAAGCGGACCCGCGGGAACAAGTCGCCGATGTCAAACGGCGCGATGTCAAAGGTCAAGGTCGGGTACCACGTGACGCCGAGGTCACCAATATGCCAGAGTTCACAGAGCTTGTTCTACAGGTGTGAACCATCTTAATCTTGAAGTGACATCTTAGCAAATGTCATTGCTTGTTTTCTTGTTTGTTTGTTTGAGCCTTTGTTTATTCGTGAAATATAAAATAATTCTGCTTGCAACCTGTCATTGAGGTTATGAGGTGAGAGGTTAGGGTCAGGTCATTCATGAAATAGACATTGATTTCTATTCACACTTAGGTCGAAGGAGCGTCTTCGGGAAATCTTACTGTGCTGCCAGAAGACGCCTTCGTCGAGACCGTACAAGGAGCCTTCAAGACGGACTCCTTGGCAGGCGTCTTGGCCAGCACCAGCGGAGTGGAGACTCAAGACTTCCTGGTCTACACGGCGTCGGTTGAAGACTCCTTCAGCGAGCCCAGTCTGTACCTGGAGCAGCTGGATGCCAAGACCCCCCAGGTGGTCAGTGTGGTGGCTGATGATGCGGATAATGGGGACTCGCAATGGAGGTAAAACTGCTCGGACATTTTGTCTGCTTGTTTAGGCTTCTTAACATTCCTTTTCTTGTTTCCTTTTGTGTATAAGGCGTCTGAATTCATGTCCAGTCATAAATTGTTTTAATCTCATCTCATCTATCTTTTAGTCTTATTATTTGACCATTGGGGCACCACAGATGACCTGACAACCAGTTTGATTCACCCTTCTTTGTTTTCTGTTCTTCTTAATACATTGTACTTCACTTCTTATATCACCCTTCCATCTTTTCTCTTGCCTACCACTCTTACTCATAGTATACACGTATATTACTGAAAGGGGGATAGAAGTAATTGCCTGTCTGATTAAGTGCTCAAGCCAGAAACCCTTGCTCCTACCCGAAGGCACATTGGAGCTCACAATATTCTTAGAGAGTAGACTACCTTATGTTGGTTTGTAAAAGACAGAAACATAACTCAAGTGAATGTGTTGTACCGTAACTTGTTTCTCCTTCAGCAATGGCGACACCCTCACCATCACCTTCGACGTGGACACCGACACACCTCCTGTTGCCACGGAGACGGAAATATCCCGGATCATGACCTTTAACCCTCCCCTGGGCACCTCCTACACCGGCCAATGGGAGACCTCCTCTGTCCTGGTCATCACTGTGCACGATACGTCACATCCGGGGAGTGATGTAGACAACATGGCCAACGTGACCTTGACGTTCACAGCAAACGTGCTAGTGACAGGGTAAGAATTTATTCTCATTTATTTAATGAGGATTGTACAAGAAGCAAGCATACTGACAAAGATAAAAATAAGCAATCACGAGAACAACAAGAGAAGACGGATGACAGAAATATCAATAACAAGACGAGTTGGTGGTAATCAATTACTAGGGTCTACATGTACAAGAAAGGAAAGTGAAAACAATGTCGAAAATATATTACTGTTTGTCGATGTGAGAGTGAATTGGATCTCCTTAAAAGAAAGTACAAAATGTTCTTTTGACAGGTTGACAATGATTGAAATGGATGCTAATGAAAGTGCACTTCGTACACTCACAGGCAAGAGTTTACCGACCAGTACCAGTATGGAGTTCCATCCGATAAGCCAAACTGTGTCGGCACCCGCGTGTGCGGCGGGTGGAACGCCTCTAGCGGTTCTGTTGGGATCTGCAGCGCCGACCAGCTGTCCTGCCGCGCGCGGGGGGTCCACGGCGTGACATCCGGGAACTTCGGTCGCCCTGACAACAGCCTGGACTGGTGGTACTACCTCATCATCACCATGGCAACGGCGCTGACCTGCTGCACCCTGGGAATTATCGTGTACCTGCGGCAGCGCAAGCGGGCCAAGAACGGACCCCACCCGCCCAAGGTTGTTGTATTAATATTTACCTCCGTGAAAAAGGGAGGTTTTGTTTTTGCGTATGCGAACAAGTCGCGACCGAATATGTAATGTGAAGCGAAGCTTAGATATACTTAAATGTAGCTGTTTTCAATTTGTATGTGGTTATATAGCTAAGATGTTCAATTTTACAAACAAGGACATTATACATGTAGTTTGGTACAAACAATAATTTCGACATATTAAGATACTTGATACTTTTTTGAGATATCCATTAGTTGCAAAAGCGACAGCAAGAGCAACTAATCTTCCTGGATTCCACAATAGTTACATATAACAAAAACAACTTTACACTGCTAGTTTTATATTACCTGTAATTCAGCCTATGGCCGTGATCTGCTTTCCGTTACCGACTATATATATGGCGATTGTAATAAACCATTCATGTATTCCAGGAGAGGCGGATCCACCGAGTCACCCGGCTGCTGAAGAAGCGCCAACTTATCACGAGCAGTGACAAGGCCACGCCGCAAGGGGGCGTCGCTACACCGCAAACGGCTACCCTTAACTCAGGTGGGGCGTCCAAATACACTTTTTTACTCATAGACAATTCAAACTCTACTACTGTAACAGGAACTAGTCATTGTGGAGAAATATTTAACTGTAAGTTCCAACGCTTTTCGACTGTACAACCCCTGTCTTTGTCAAGGAACTTAAAATTTACAATCTGTAAATTTGTCCAATATTTTGTGCATTGGAAATTAACCAAATTTCCAATGCCTCAAAGTAGTGTTTGTCAGTTTTTTTTAATGCCAACATTTAACACAAGACATTGTGACGGCACTGTCAAGTTTTTTTTCAACTTATTTTTATGCTGCCACCAATGCAGAGGACACCAGACAACAATCAAGTTTTTATCCAAGTTAAGTGAAGAAAGGGTAAAGTTCTGAAGTCTGTCATCTCTGACTGTCTTGTTCCCGATGTGTTCCTGCAGTGTTAGTGAACAGCCGGCACGCACCTGTCCCCGTAGACAACATCATGCAGCGGAACGATCTTCGGGACGGCCCGAGACACCCCAAGGAGCCGCACCTCATCTCACAACCCGCGCCGTCCTTGAACTTGTAAGAAGTGGCAAATGTCTTTACTATCACGATATTTCATCTATGTTAGTAGTTACGTGATTGATGTTAAGACTTTTGCTCTTAGCAAGGGATTTTTCTCACCTAGACTTTTCGACCAGTGACTGGTATACAGTAAACAACGTCATCCCCCCTCGTGGTTGAGTGATGGGCCCTGATGTACATAGACTCTTTCACCCGTTTCAAGAAGTAGTCTTATTCGATGCCCAGTATTCTTACAGTGTCCAGCTAAACGAAATACGTTTAACTTGTGAACTAACTGAACTTGACTCAACCCCTGAATGTAACTGAATGGACCTAAGAAACTTTTCTAAAAACATAATTGTTTTTGTCGGCTTTTTTTTATATCTACTTGCAATTGTGGATACGATCAAAATTAAACATTCTGTCGAATTACTTAAGACAAGATATATCTTAAAGAAGGTTTTTTGAGGTTTTGTGATGGCGTGTTTGTGTGTGGATGTGGTGTAACCTTTGTTAATGACCCATCATTGATCATTGAATACAGCTCCAATGAAAGCAACGTAAACCGGAACAATAACGTCAACGGACCCTCTGCGACCAACAAGCTTCGGGATGACGTCAGCCAAGGTTCGCCGGGTCACGTTGTTTCTGATCCTTTCCTGCTGTCGCAAACGTCCGGGGTCCAGGGGTCCCAGCAGACAGCGTCAACGTTAGGACACGGACTGAACAGTGTTTCCACTGCCAACAACCTGGTAAGTTGTTTAAAGCTTAAACTTTTGTTCCAACACAAACGTAAATGTTCTCACCTTGCTTTCAAGTGGTGAGACTAGTCACTCTGGGTCACACTGTCGACGTCACACTTCAGAAAAGCCATCTGACAAGTCTTGCTGGGCCAGTCTACTAAGGAAGACCAGAATGACCCGTCGAAAGCTATAGGTGAAAACATTTACCTTTGTGTGGGAACAAAAGCTTTAACTTCAAACATGTAACTACCAACACACATGAACTTTCATGATAATTTGGTAAGTTCTCTATGTAGTAGACTGATTTACTTAAGTTGCACCAACAGTAACAATGCAACAATTAGTTGATTGACAGCGACAATAGAGTAGTGGTTAATCTATATACTAGTATTATATTATGAGGACCAACAATAGGTAACGGTAAATTGAATTAGAGTGGTCCGGCTACGATTAACGGGCAATTAAAATAGCTTGCTATTACGGTGTCACAGAAGACAGAGACTCTCTCTTAAGCGCTAACCAGCGAAACAACTACTGCTGGAAAATATGAAATTTTCATAATACAGTTAAAATAGACTTGCATTATTTCCTCCAGATCCAGGCTAGCCCCAACCCAACCTACCCCAAAAACAGGATCTCAGCGGCCCAGCCACAAGGCCTGCTTTACCAGGCTACAGGAGAAGAGAGCGACCCAAATGTGCCGGGACCCATGGAGCCTGCTGCAAGCCTAGCTTCCCACCAAGTCATGGAAAGGTCCACAAACATAGACATGTCAACAGGTCAGTACTCTTGGCGTATTTTAAGTTTTTTTGTCTCAATTTATATTACCAGTACATGAATTATGTCTAATTTTCGTCCTTTCAAAGAAAGAACAACTTCTGTAATTCCAGATTTTAAGATACTACACGGCATAAATTCATCATTACATTTTAATATCTACCCCTCTCCCCCTCTATATGAACCTATATATCCATTTTCTTCAAACTTTTTGATTTTACTACCATGACGACAAAGGTAGTTAAGTGAACTACTGTCAGCACCATTTTTAATAACTTGAAAGTAAAAGCGATTGATTGATTGATTGATTGATTGATTGATTGGTTGATTGATTGATCAATCGAATCGATCGATCGATTGTACCAAGAACGTCCTTATTTTATTGTCCCCAGAGCGGCGACGGCGGCCGGCCAGACGGAGAAATCATAGTCAGATTCCGCGAATCTCGGAACTTGCCGGGCCCCTGGAGGACCCTTCCCCGGTGCCGGCGGGCCCTGTGCCCGAAGACGACCCGGAGGTCGGCCCGCTGCTCAAGAGGTCTTCTTCCAACTCTATCTACAGTCTAACTACAGGTGGGTCTAACTACAAGTTTGCTAGCGATTGATAATACATTCATTCATTCATTCATTCATTCATACAATCCATCATTCATTCATTCATTCATACAACCCATCATTCATTCATTCATTCATTCATCAATTATATATTAGAAACAAAAAGATTCTAACTGTATGTGTCTTCTGGGATGGGAGGATTGTTACTCACGCGAGGTATCATGTATTTTTAAATGTCTTGTAAAATATTTTTCTTTCATTGTAAAAGTGGCTGCGAGAATATAAGTTGTACCTAACTTGAGTTCGCAGTCACTTAGTCCATGTCTTTTCATTTGTAATTCTCATTGTGTTTCTGAATAAATTTAAAAAAAAATCATTCTTTCTTATCCTTGTTGTGTACAGTAAACCTGGGGTTCGAATCGGAAGAGAGACGGCCCGGCAGCTCCAGTAGCGAAAGCGTCGGGCCGCGGTCTTTTCTTGCGACGGACTCGGAGACCGGGCTCGCCATCCGGACTCACGTGTACCCGCGCATGGACTCCGACCAGTCGCTGAAGAGCAACGGCAGCGGGGAGGGGGGCGGCGGCCTGTCAGTAAGAAACACAAGCGGGTAGCGCCGGTGTCTGCAACAACTCCGTACAACACGAGGACTCCTACACTCGGGACGGGGGCACTTAAACCACGGTACGTAGTGTATGTTTGTTTGTCTGTAACTAGGCACAGAGGACTATTGTCCAAAAGTTACAACATCTGTATATGGTACATTGTAATTGTTAGAATGACAGTGGGCAGAGTTCATATATGGGATCTGCTCCATTTGCCTGGCAGTCCCCTTTAGAGTAAGCTTGTTTTTTTTACACTTCAACGACGTACATCACGTACACTACATGGTGTTTGTTGATGTAGCAAATGGTACCAGCCCGTGCAGCTTGACAGTGTCTTTGTTTGCTTGCTTGCTTGTGGTTGCTTCAGACCGGTAATGCCGAACAGTCTCCTTGGTTGTTAATTCATTTGTTTGTTTGTGGTTACTTCAGGCCGGTTTCGCCCGACAGTTCCCGTCCGGCTTCCAGCAGTTCCTCCAACAGCTCACCTGCGCCTCAGTTGCGCCGCCTAGCGATTGCCGCGCGTCTGCTGCACTCCAACCGCCTGGACACGTCAGAGGCGTGACGTCACGGACTCGCACGTCACCAGAACGTTCTACGCCTGCGTGAAAGCACGGTTTCTGTTGAATACGTTGTTCAACGTTGCATCAGAATTTTGCTCGTTGCAGACGATATCTTTTCCGACCCAATATACAGACAGGACGCCATTCTTGAATATGCGACCACGACCTAAAACGATACGTTATTTACTTTAGTAGAAGTTGTAGAACTATTGAACAGAAGCGTGTTTCAAAGTTGTAATTTTCAGAAACGTGACAATCTTCTCTAAGCAGATGGTACTAATTCAACCTAAAATAGCCTGATTTATACTTAATTAAGTTTCAGAATTATCATATCACAGAAGGCCATTGTAACACGAGATTGCAGAAAAAGCCATACATTTACGCTCACTGAATACCCAGTGTAAGATTTAAAGTGTACTGTATGTAAAGGCACTCACATTCGAGGTGGCTTATTTTGAAGTAAGGAAAATGAGGTTTTCGCGGCTTACATGTAACTAAATCTGTGGTGCAGTAGCTAGCGATACATTGGAATGAAACCACGCGAAAATTTCCATATTTATCGCCCTCAGTCCCTTTGTAATGGCGCGGTCACATTTCCCAACCCGGGGCCCGGCCGGGCAGTCGTATGGAACGAAAATTATGATATAAGACAGCAAAACACAAAAAAGTTTTAGAAAATTAACCATGAGCACTATTTGTGTATACTCTTAATAAAAATTGTTTATTTTTCGTTCACGCAAACAACCCGGCCGGGCCCCGGCTTGGAAATGTGACCGTGCCATAAGTGCAAAACATCCCGATCGTCTTGTGCAGAGATGGCGTTGTATAAAAATTACAGTTAGTACAGTAACTGTAGTACAGTATTTGTGTTTTATCATCGACTGTTTGACCAGGGTTTCTTTGATATAACCCAGCTAATACACCTCTAGCATTATTTCCATGTATTCCAACCAGTACATAACTTGTAGGTAGCAAATCGGTAGCGCAGAAATCATCTCTGTCGTCCAAACGTCAAATTGTGTATTTGTACAACCGTGGTAATGTTACCGAAACTACGCGCCGACAGAGCATGCAAAATTCTGAAAAGTGTTAAATCAGTGGAGATTGTTTTAAGACGCGTCAGATTTGAAAGTTCTTGTTGAAGAACTTAATATAAGTCTGAGGAACGAGAAACATGAACCTTGCGCCTTTTTTGTCTGGATTTCTGGGGAATATATTAAGGATTTTAAGCTTAAGCTTGCCAGTTGGATAATTTGATAATTTTACTGATAATTGTAAAATGGGAAGTTTTGTAATAGTTTCAGAACAGCCGTACAGTTTCTGTGATTTTCAGGTCATAAAGAATTGATCTGCTTTGGAAAAATGTTCCTTACTGAACCATTTTTAATTTTACTATTCCGCCGTCTACAGTGATGATAATTTCAAGAATGCGATGTATTTACGGCAACCCCTAGTGAGTTGATTTGATTAATTGAAATTGTAACAGTACAATACACGTGGGACATAGGACAGACAATACTCATTTTCACCTGGGTTATGCTGAGGTTACATTTCGAAACCGGGACCCGGTCGGGCAGTCTTATAATACGAAACGTAGGATATGAAATACAAGAAAGCACAAAAAAAGTTTAAAGAGGAATAATGGGCCGGGAACCGTTTGCGTATATCATTGACATGAATTGTTGATTTTTCGTTAATCGAAGCAGCGTGGTCGGGCCCCGGTTTGGAAATGTGACATCAGTATTAAGTGAGGAAAGTCGTGTAAATTACCTTTCCCAAGAGCACAAGATCTGTGGCATGTCAGGACTCGAACCCGGGACCTTTTGGTTCCGAGTTACGCCACACGACTTCACAAAAAGTGTCGAATTCCTGAATTTAGAAATCCGTACTCTTTCGTATCCAAAATTTCGTTCATATCTTTTCAAATTGGTACGTCCTGTAAAGTTTAACTATTTTAGCTTTGGTTCTCGTTCTTCCTGTATTCTCATTACCCGACTTCGTCTGGGCACCTGCAGCTTGAATCACAGTCTTTATACCCGGGGTCTTGTCACAAGTCCATCCTGTAGCTGCGGGTGTCCATATGAAACGATTGCTCATTATTTATTGCACTGCCCTACATACACCTACCAGCGCTTAGTCCTTTTTGGCAAGCTTTCAAGCATACTTGGTAATATTGTTGATTTAAACACCCTTTCTGATAATTCCAAAAAGTGGCTGCGAGAATATAAGTTGTACCTAACTTGAGTTCGCAGTCACTTAGTCCATGTCTTTTCATTTGTAATTATCATTGTGTTTCTGAATAAAAAAAAAGTGTCTCACGGCTAGAGATATCTAAATCGGCCCTGTATCTGTACCTGCACTATTTTCTCAACTTGGTGTGATGGACGATCTTCAATAAGGACACCGCCATGTTTGAACCGATAACGAATAGTCTGAAAATGTTTCACTGTACGCTAGGGAGTACAGACAGATGACTTGTGCTATTCGTATGCATGGCAGTTGTAGTCTATAATGATAAGTTTATCGCAACTTCCCAAAAGCTAATTGCAAATAGCAAACATAAAAGAACATTAAAACAGATTACAAAATCTACATAGTAAAAGGCAATTGTCTAAAACTATAGTTATTTCCAAAACTATGTCTGAATGGTTTGACTTCTCTTTTGTAAACTTTGGAAGACGTACATGTCTCACGTTTTCCTAAATCTGAGGGCTTGGGGGTGTTAAAAAAAGAATAATTTTTTTTATAATCTAGGTGGTGCCTGTACGTAGGCTATTTCAAAACGGTTGTTTCAGAACAAATTTAATAACATTTATCAGCCAATGGCATCTACAAAATTTACATGTAATTACAGAATTCCATAAGACTACTACTGTACCAAGAAATTAGTCATACGTATTATTGCTGATATCATCTAAATAGATATAATGACTTCGTGGTGCTATAATAGGTCTTTGTAAAATGGTGCTTGGGGATTGTTGAAATTACCAGTAGATTAGCCGGTGACGCCCCGAAAACACAATGCAACAGGTAATTACAGAATTCCGCCAGGCTACTACTGTACCAATCAATCAGAAGTACCAATTAACCCTCATCTGCATAATTTCAGTGCGAAAGAGTATATATTTCACTCCCCGTTTCTGTTTTCCATCGAGCCATTCTGACTTCTTCAGACGAGTCATCTGACGAGCCAGGGACTTACCCAAGGTATGTACCAAATTACTCTACCAACTAAGCCTACCGGTGCGGTGTCTTTGTATGTGTTAACATTATGTTAAATTCTATTTCTGAGAATCTTTTTTCCATTCAACCCGGTGATCTATAATAATGTAGACTCTCTTGTGACTTGTTTAAGCCTTCTTGTTCGTTTACATCAAACTTTCAAAGAGCAAGCACTGTACTTGCCTCTGGCTAGCAGAAAATTGTAAAGGTTTTTTTTTTCAACCTTTATTTAACCTTGAAAATGTACAGTACAATTTCGTAGCAATACAAACTTTTCGGCCTAAGCCGTTTTTCAAGAGGTCAAGGGGTGATGGTTCTATCATCAATATATCAAAAGCTTGATAAGATTCGTACAAATGTGAGTTTGGAGACGTCTAGTTAAGTATGACAGCCTCACCGACTGATTATCAGTATCCATAACTGCTACGTGAGAACATTGCTGCCCAAGCAACACAATACACGGCAGTGCTATCCAGATGTTGAAAATGTTTAACCTTCAATAAAGGAGGACCCTGGTGATATAGCGTCAGAGCTGATTGCACTTTCGTCAATACAAGACATTGACATTTTAAATTACCGCAACTGTTTACAATACTATTCTTTAGAGGAACTCAAAAGAATCCCTCGCTTCACTTTGTTAGGCCAGGATTTTCAAACATGTTAACGCCCACGGCATGCCCCCGACAACACAAAAATTGTGGATTGCAGTCAAGTTTGGACTACTTGTTTCAATGTGGTTTTGGCTCCAATATGAGTGCTCAAGTTTATCGATACTATGCCGATACAACAACCTCCAGTCATTCAAAACAAGAGTACACCTGCATCTTCTTTCCACCACAAGGACATTGCAGTTGCTGTAAACTAATGATTAGCCAGGAGTGTTACAACCCAGGCTATTCTTTACATTAACACACGATAGCAAAAAATGCGGGTGAAAAATGTCCAAATAATCACTGCTGATTAATTCCCCCCAGTTGACGCTGCACCATGAGGCTGTTTGTCTGCACGCTGCTGGTGACGATGGTTGTCGCCGCCTTGCTGATGGACGGCGCCGAGGGGGGGGTGGAGGAGGAGGAGGAGGAGGAGGAATTTTGGATCTGGTTTGGAATTCGAAGGTACGCTGACTTCGCTGTTTTGATTTGAACTATTGAATGCGGTCTTGCTTGACGTACAAAATTTTGTATTATCTACCTATAGAAAATAAAAGCTACGTATTCATTCTGACTACTGCACGCTTCCCATTGTCAAGAACGGAATCTGTATAAACCAGGAGCTATACAGCCGTATTGGCATCCACATGAAAGATTCAAGTTTCTACAAACTCTTAGCATGTTTACATATCCACTGCCTTCAAAGAAGAAGTCAAACCTCGTAATAGTTAGCGTAGTAGTAGAAGTATAAGTTTTTCCAGACATATAGTTGTCTGTCTACTATTATTGTGTTGTACCGAGTAGAGTCTTTGGCTGTGAAAGCAATTAGCCTTCGGGCATGATTTTGCAAATAAAGATTATATATAGCACATCGTCCATTTTTAAAGTTATATATTCATATACTTGGCATCATGTAAAACTTACTGAAACAAACCACTGTAGATATAGAGTGATATAAGATATGGAATATTATTGCTCGCGATGTGGCAGAAGGTTGAGAAGAATACTGTTGGTAATTTTGGATTTTTTCTGTGTGAATTTTCATTTTGCATGTCATATTATCTTTTGCTGAAAGCATTGTGTAACTAAACGATGCATTGTGTATCGGGACGCCTACTCTCCCCCTTCCCGAGCTCTTGAAAAGCGGCTTAGTCCGAAGAGCGTACGTTGTCCGGTTCAAGATTAAATTTAGGACAAATAAATAGATAAATACTGTGATAACTTCTTATCTGTAAAGCACCTACAGAGTTGCACAGAATCAGAGTGTGACAGCCATATTTCTACACACACGCATGAGAATCTCATATCGACCTTTCTATGCCCATCCTTTCAGCGGATAAAAACCTGAGGGAGGTTCTGGAAGAGACAAGGTCTCTCCTGGATGATCTGGAGGAGGAGACTATTCAGCTGGACGCACGGGAGTCAGAGGATAACCTGGAGGAGACTGGTCAGCTGGACGCACGGGAGTCAGAGGATCTGCAGGAGGAAGACTGTAAGAAATCTCACATTTCCTCCTTTTTCCTGCAAGCCTTTAGCTAGTCTCATATAGATGTTAATTTATTAATTTTTTATTTATTTATTTATCTTGTGGACACACGGGTTCTCCCTTCAGCCGTAGGGGCTGATTTCCAAGGGAGCCCATGGAATAATGTAACATAAAATAATAATAATAATTAAACATAACAGAGAAATCTAAAGTCATAATTTATTTACGGTCGCCGTATATCTGGGGACCGATACCCACATTTATTTAGCATGACTGTGACTTGAGTATTAACAGAGTAACAAGTTATCAAACTTTGTATATGTTCGTTATAGCAAATAGGATGTTGCAAGGCTGTGATTCTTGCTAATTATATACATAAATTCTTCCTTATTTACAGACGCCCGGAAGCGCCGCTAACTCCTGTCACCTGCAGCCTACCAGACGACCTGAAGACCGGAGTTTCCAGCGGTGTCAAAATGGCAGGACTGCACGTTAGGTTGATGAATGAAAATCGTGTAAACGCAGTGCCGTGTAATGGTCCTTATCCATAGATATAGAGTTCTTCTTTCTTGCTTTGATGTCAAGTTTCTTGCAACTTGTAATATCACAAGTCTTGCCTCTCACAAAACACCAATATAAGACCAACAATTTCAAAGTTACAAATATTACATTCTGTATATAATTTGTACACAGTGACATACCTACTGGAGAAAATGTGAATGAAATGGCCGCTGTTTTTATTTACATTCATTTTATTCTATGTTTGTTTTGAACATCTGATGAGAAGTGTACTGGCGTAGATTGTATAATAGCTACCATAGCTACCAAGTACATGTAAACTTGGGGCGGTAATTTTTATAATTATATAAGCTAGCAATTATGGATACAGGGAGTCAGTCCAAAGGAGGGCAAGCCTGTCATCATCCTTATTTTCAATTAGCAAGATGTGTTCAAATGCACATTTAGTAGGAATCCCACACGTATATTGTTTTCTCTATACTAGAACAAGCTGGTGAAATGAATAGAGTCTGACCAAACTAGGATTAGACCCGTTCTCGGTCCTCTGTTTTCATGTTAACTTTACACCTAACTATATATAGGGTAACACATTAACAGGGACATCTAGCGACGTTTAGAGGGATAGCACAGTTGAAAGGAATCATAGTTCGCCCACACACGCACCTTTGCGGTACTGTTAGGTTATTAGATAAAACCTTTTCTCCAACTAAAAGAAATTCTAACTTCAGCAGATTGTTGGTGAAGACCGAGGGATTCATTCGATTCGTTTTTCATTTTGATGCAACTTATTGCAGATTAAATATCAATAAGCCACATTATTAACTTTGAAACGAGGAGGTATTTGGATGAAATATCAGGTGTATTATTGAACCACTTGAACACCCTCAACAGTAAACGAAGTGTCAGTAAATATAATTCGGCATACTACGAAACCCCTGACATAGCCCCAGCAGTGCTGTAGGTTTTAGTTTGGTACACCAGCTATATCGTCATTAAAGTCTACCAGCCAAGAACGAAGCTGGTTGGTACATGGTCACTGTATTTGACACACTAAAAAGAAAAAGCTGCAGGGGCCGGGGATACCCAGAGTCACCACAATCTAGTTAGTGGCACAAACCTAGAAGATAACAAAAAGTTACGAAGGGCCATGGAGGGTGAAATTCTGTAGAGGGGTCTCTCACCAGGATTGGTTCGACTGGAGGCTAGGACTAAGTAAGTAAATATACGATGAAACCCCATGCATACCCCCACAGTGCAGAAGAGTTCATGTCTGACTCAGCTGCTGGACCTGAGGCTGATTTCCTCGGGGTAAAATGAACCTGTCAGTGTACAGCCCCGGGGGAGCCCGGGGAGGGGGGCAGGGGTGTGAAGGGTCGGATTGAGATTTCCTTCAGGATAGATTCTCATTGGGGTTTGAAAAAAGGTGGTTGGGTAAGACGGTTTGCACTAAATTGGTAAGTGCTTGATGACATAGGTTGAACGACTGTCGCACGATCAGAAACTGGGTGCATTCCTCGGATAGTCAGCCGTGCATGTGTCGTTTAAACATCCAGTCGTCTTGTTTAGACAAAAAAAAGGCCTAACGGCGGTTGGTTCTGTCACAGCCTACTTTAACTTCATTCAACATAAAAAATGGATGGATGTTATTTTAGTCTAGAAGAGCCACAACTTAAAACGGTTAAGCAACCGTTTTTTCCAGAAGTGTTGCTTGGCCCGTTTCCGAATTGTGTTCAAACCAATCTATTCCTTACACGGCTTGTAAACATGTGGAGCTGTAAAATGGGCTAAATTAGTACAAAAACTAACTCAAATGGCTGTACCTTTATTGGTCTTGACTCTGGCGCCATGGCCAATTTCTAAGGCTATTTCTGCCCTTTACTCGTCTGTAGTTTTGAGTCCCCGCTGCCGCAGCATTCAGAAACATTTCAAGCAAACCTGCCTGAGACAGAAGAGATCAACACCGGACGTTAGCTCATTGCGGACTTTTAAGTTCTAGTCGAATAGCCCTTGTACATTATGTAGTACTCTCTGTTATTTCTGTGCGCACTTCTTATGGCCCAAACCTGAAGTTACTTCGTTCGGCAAATGTTGGGTTTATTAGCTCTCCAATGCAAAAGAAACCTCAGCCGATGTAACAAGTTGAATGTCAGAGTATTTATATGCTTCGAATTGTTACAAAAAATGCTAGTAATCCAGACGACAGAACCATCTAGGTTATTTGCTTGACTATGACACTATGGCTGACGGTTATTTCGGCTCGTCTGTACTTCCAAGCCTTTTGAACAATCAATCTTCAATCAAACCTTAGAAAAACAACCCCAGTCTTCCATTACACATGGTATCAAAACGGAGTTAAATTGTGCAAAACAACTAACCTAAATGACAGGAGACCTTTTTCAGTTCGGACTCTGGCATTATCGATGATTGTGCAAAGGTAATCTCGGCCTCCACATCATCTCAACTCTTTTGTAGTTCCGAGGTTCCGGGAAGATCTCTGGCCCGGCGGCGATGGATGGGGGATAATGAGTGACCGGAGGGTCCCCGGCAATTCGCGGCAATCAGGAGGAGTTTGCAGTAATTTGTGACTCGGTATTGCTGTGATCAGCTCGATGTTTGGCAGTCCCCCCGGAGCACGGATCAGGGAAGAGGGATGGGAGGGAGGGCAAAGGTTTTACATGACTGGTAATCACGTCGTTTATTAGTGTGTTCTACTATTTTACAACAGATAGTAAGCATCGCCATATTAGGGAAATTAGACCCGTTCCTGGAATTTGGAAATGGAAACAAGGAAAAAGTTCATGGAGGGCAAAGGTATTACATGACTGGTAATCACGTCGTTTATTAGTGTGTTCTACTATTTTACAACAGATAGTAAGCATCGCCATATTAGGGAAATTAGACCCGTTCCTGGAATTTGGAAATGGAAACAAGGAAAAAGTTCATGGAGGGCAAAGGTTTTTACATGACTGGTAATCACGTCGTTTATTGGTGTGTTCTACTATTTTACAACAGATAGTAAGCATCGCCATATTAGGGAAATTAGAGCCGTTCCTGGAATTTGGAAATGGAAGAGAAAGAGTTCATGGAGGGCAAAGGTTTTACATGGGACAAGGTTTTTCATTAGCGTGTTCTAGTTCTACCAAAGAAACATGCTTTACAACATATGGTTAACATGGTCGTAATTGGGAAATTAGGCTCGCTCTAGGAATTTACAAATGGAGAGGAAAGGACAACTGACGTGTGATCATGTCGTTTCTAATATACTCTACTTGATAACTACCATTTACAACAGATAGCAGACATGGCCATATTAGAAAAATTAGACCCATGCCAGAAATTTGGAAAGGAATGGGGAAGAGTTCACGGAACGGAGGCAAAGGTTTTACTGGGATGAGGATAATGTTGTTCATTAGGGTGCTGTACTAAATAACTATCTTTTACAACAGAAGGCACCTTGTTTATATTGAAAAATTAAAGACGCTTCTAGAATTTCGGAAAGGTGGCCGTAAGTTCAGACATTCTGATGTTGATTATTTTTCTATTGTCCCAAAAATGTCCCAAAGTGTCTTTTTAGTTCTCCCAGCCTAAATTTCAGTGGTCAGTGGCCATCGGGACACCACTAATTTCGAGCCCTGCCGCCCCGGTGATTTTCCAGCTCACCTGACGTGATTTCAGACGTTTTTCAGCGTGTGCGATGCGCGGTGACGGATTGGGTAGGGACCCACGGGGCCTGGTAATTTGCAGCGGAATTAGCAAAGGTCGCCGAGACAATGAAAATCAATCGAGTCGCCTGGAGAGAAAAAATCCCCAGGTCGAAACAGAAATTGAAGCCCACGTTGGGGGGTTTGGTCGGAATCCAAACACAAAATCCGCACTCAATTTTAGCGATTTCTACTTCTTAAGAAAAGGGTAATTTAATTGATTTAATTGTGTGATATAGGACAGTTGGTGTGTGTCTGTTGGGGGTATTTACAGAGTAAATGTCAGAACCTATGAAGGTAATAGATTTTTAATGACTCAGCTTTACAGGCGTTAATAGAGGCAGTCGCGTGTAACAAGATATGACTTTCACTTTCTTAAGGAAGCAATGATAGATGAAGAACGGTATCAGGCATTGTCTTGATTAATAAGCTGATTCGCTACTTGCTTAACTAGACTCAGTCGTAAAACCTGAGGGTTTGTATTCATTTATTTACATACCTTTAAGGATGTCTGTGAATAGATAAAACTTGCATGTTCACAGTTTATACGTATACTTTTCAACGATTGTCTGTTTAAATATTATATGCTATTTTCAAATATAGTTTTATCAATATCTACTGTTTGTATTGTATTTAGGAATGTTTCACCAATTCGTCAAGTGGTAAAATAGAAGATTTTTTCAGCACTTGACGAATTGGTTGTTGAAAGTATCCACATGAGACTTAGGCTATGTAGACCTTATTTCTACAGGCTCTAAATACAATCTATTCGAGTTACCGGCACCAAGGAGGTGACTAACCTCCCTGCTATCATCGAAGTCGAGCTGAAATTCGATTTCCAGCGAGTAGATTTTCCACCGCGAAGCCGTGCTTATATATCGAATCCCGGATCCAATTTTGTCCAATTTCTGACGGACTTTCGCCGGGCCCTGAGAAAGTCCGCTGGCATTTTTCACTGTCACGGGCGGAATTGGCGAGGCCTAATATTGGTGCGCGGGGGATCGTGATCCCAATTTCAACCTCAAATCCTCGTCTTGACCTTGAGAGGTCACACCATGAGTCTTAACTTCTCCGCCACTTGAGACAGACCAGGGCGGGGAGCGGCAGTGTAGTGGTTTGTGCGCACGGGTGAGTAGAGAGCATCTGTAAAGAGTATCAGCACGCAAGAAACTGGCACAGAATTGTTTGTTTTCCATATATATACGATTGGTAATACATGATAGAAAATAGATTTTACCATGCTAGTTTACATCAATTAAACTTGACTTAACTTGACTCAATTTACTCTGGTGCTTCTTGTAGCTAAATGGTTATATTACCAGTTCTAAAACCTGACTTAAGCCTATCCAAGCTGAATTTGCTAATGCGAAACAGCGAATCTGCCTGAGCCCGCCGCACAAATTGCCACCAAATCAGCGCTATCTACCCTCCCATATATCGCTGAATATACGGACTCATTTTGGGTAATGTCGG